GAAGATTTAAATTATTTATATTTCAGAATTGATTGAGGTTTTTATGATCACTAAGGCTTTTTTATTCAGTATATGGTGTGTATCTATCATATAAATGTTGAATGATTTTTTAACATTCTGTATATAAATTTCTCCTTGGTTAGGATAATATTTATTGAAATGTGTATATCATTGAAATGGGAAAATAACACTTGGTGACAATCACATTAATTTGATGAAAATATGGAAAATATCTTTATGTCTCTTTTTACGAGAAATTTTTATTACATAAAAGTAATAAGTTTTTATTATATAAAGTAATAAATTTTTCTCGAACACAGGAGAAATATTTCTAAAGTACTTGCATAATAGTGTTATTGTTACTGTTTTTGATAGAGTGTATAAATGATCAATTTGTATATTATATTATATTTTTATACACAGAAATGAATTGTAATATATATATTATATATCTATATCATCCAAGTTATTATCATGGAATGTGATTTTTACCTTTGCTATTACTTACCTGTGTTCCTTTTCCACAGTAATAATCCACACCTTCTCTAGATTCAAAATTTTTTTAGATAATGACGGCGATGTGTAAAAATTCTTTGATCCACCATTACTCCCGTATAAACACTCATGACGAGAGCAAATACATACAATCGTACTGTTGTCAAATCTGAGTAACTGTTACAGATTGAAGAATCGGTATTCGATGTTTTAAAGTCTTTGGTTTTTACAAAACTATGTCTTAATGACTGACACTGCACTGAACATTACACTAATACAATGACACAATAGACATGGCGCGACGCTCATATGAGAGCACTATTTGTTTACTGAGCGAGAGCAATGGAGGGTTTAATTCTCTTAAATAAAAACTTTTTATTTAGTTTTTCTTGAGGTTTCAATATCTTAAAAGTTCTACGGAATGTATATCATCATTCGCGATTAAAATAGAAATATTATTAAATTTTTATATAACAAAAATATGAAGCTGTGGTATATTCTATGTGACTTTTATAAAACAATATCCTTTAAATCTCTATTTTTTATATTTAATCAGGTTTTTTTAAAATTTGAGCTCTATAATTTATTGGGAAAAAAATCATGATTCTCTCAATTATATTGAAATTTTAAACATTAAATTCCAAAAGTTGATTTTTATGTTGAAAAATATAAAATTCAACAATTAAATTTAAAATAAGTATAATTTTACTACACAAATATGTACAGAATTTAGAAATATATTCATTTCGAAATTTTTATATTCAGATGCACGCTGATTTTTTTATTCTAGATTTATGAATAAAACACATTTTCTCATTCACTTGATATTGTTGATATTGTTCAATCTTGCTTTTCTACTGAAATTCGCGTCCCAAAGCGCGCGTAAATTTTTATGGCTCGCATTATTTCGTATTTGTCCGCAACACCTTTCTATCTGCTTGCATCATGATTTCCTATGAGACCGCGGATGCTGACCAAACGTCTGCAATTTGCAATAACTTAACTGCAAGGACGATTTATAGGAATGATTATAACACACTTTGAAACGAGTAATATTTGTAAGTTGCTGTACCTATCTACGATTTATCCTTTCGAATGGTTATCTTTTCGAAAAGTGAATTTAATAACATCAAGCGAAAAAACCGCTCGACTTGCAAAATGTGCAGCAAGTAGAATGTACATGCAGCATAGAAATATTTGCGTTGCAATTTTTCGTCGGTCATGGAATCGAGTCGATTTTCATCGAGAACATTCATATTACAATTTTTACGATATATGCACGATATTTTCCTCTTATTTTCACTCGAAAGTTGGAGAAACGTAACGGGAATGACATCCATCATTGCGTTCTTCTGAAAGGATTGTTTTGCGCGATACGTTTCCCTTCAAACGACTGCAGTGCATAACATTTACATGAGATACGACCGAATCTTGTGTCTGCTCTCGTTCGGAAGTGACACATCCACTGCCACTGATACGGATAAAATTTATTATGTGATGTAACTTTAGGAGCGGAGGCAACGATTACCGCTATCGCTACATGCGCGTTGTAAAATTGTCATGTTACATCATCGTGGAACCAGAGGTACTGGAATTCTCACAGCCATAAATTCATGTTAACTCAATGATATTTATTTACTTATACTGCGGCAGTTTTATTCGAAGACAAAGGATACTTTCTAAAAAGTTATTTCTTCACAGAAGTTACATTTACATAGAAAGAAGGAGAAAAATATATAATATGTGTTTGTTTGGATAAAGTATGAAGTTTATATTTTGATTAATCTCGAATATATATTTTTAAAACGATCTTGAAATTTTAATCTGTCGGAGTGAAATGATCAAGTGACTGATGTGACAGTGTCGCTCGAGTCCTCCATGATGTATAGCTAACTCGGCGCAACAAATTGAACTATTATAGTTGACCATTATATTTCATTATTTGTGAACAATTATATTTTAATTTTCCACATGATTGTCCGCGGAACAATTTGATAAATTACGGTTGTGTATTTTTAAAGCAAACGTCTCGTGATCTCGACTGTGATGTCGCGAACAATATAATACATGGAATACGTGTGATTGCTCTTACCTCTGATTGTCCCTTTCTCCGCTGATCGGCCAAAGTAGTCGTTACACATTTATGTGCGCTTCATATAATGGTCTTCGATAATTGCAGTTGGACAGTAGTCATTCTGCATAAAGCAGCACTTTATCCGCTGCTTCTATGAGGCCAACCTAGTAGAAAGTTTTTATGGTGTAGTATAGCGTTATGGTGTAGTATATTAGCTGCGCGATTCTATCTGACATTACTGTCTGGAATACGCGAGCACGTGACTTACGACTGGTCACAATAAGAAGAGGTTCATCTTTTTTTCTACAAGAGACTCGCGATAGAATTGCGAATCTACGTCGATTAAACGGAAGGATAGCTGGTGACTGCGGCTGTAACAATTGTTGGAATCGGTCAATTAATCGAGAAGCACGGATAAAGAAAAAAAAGATGATACCTACGAGCACTGTTGACAATTTGATGGAATTTACTTTACGGATGATCGGCATTTGGCCACATTCCTCGTACAAATTCTTAATGCGCATTGTTTGGACGACGACGATGACTATCTGGCAGTTCTTACAGTACTGGCATCTCTTCACTCATATCGGTTCCGATACTCTGCCAAATCTCATGGATTCTTTGAGTCTGTGTTTATCGAACAGCTTGTTGTTTCTAAAAATGAATTTCCTTTGGCTGAACGGACGGTAAGACTCGTTGGAAGTGTCAACTGACAAATGAGGGACGGGGGGGGGGGGGGGGGGGGTTTTTTATATTTATAGCTATATCTGAATTTTTTCAAATTCAAAGTTGAATATGTAAATTTGAAAAAGTCAGTTAATTTGATACTTGATCGTAAAAAGTTCAATATTGAGTATGTTACATCGCGATAGATTATTGCTTTAGATACATTTTTTAAAATAGAAATTAAGGTCCTTCTTCAAATATAATTTTATTTTTTGGAAAATTAGTTTTGCTACTAGTTAGTTTGTATATTAATTATCTGTATGCATATGTTGTGTTATATATTTATACATTATTCAGTATTATTTATGATATGCTTGCGAGGATTGCTGAAGACTGGAATGAGTGCTCCTCTAATAACTCAAAGATGCAACTGATGATAAGCAAAGCGATTTTGTCTCATCGAATTTCAAAATACAGCATTGGTACATACACTGTCGTGTTACTTTTATTTGGGGCAGGTAACATGATCGTTCAAAAGACTATGGGCTCTGAGCAACTTGTCGAAGAGAAGCAGCTTATTGTCAAAATGAAATTGCCGTCTGAGTTTGATGCGTCGCCGATTTATGAAATTGTTGTGGTCACGCAATTTTTTGTGCAATTCACATTGGCACTTTTAGCGGGAATGTTGAATGCTCTTATTGTAACGTTAGTAAGTTGGTTCCGTACCAAAGAATGTTGCGTTTTTTCTTGACAAGAGCCCAATTTTAATCACTATTTTATTCCTACATTGCAGCAATATTACTTTAAAGGATTGCAATATTTCATAAAATGTTCCTGCATTATTGTACTAAAATATTCCTTTGTCTGCTAAAATAGAACAATTTTAATATTTCTTGTAAAATATTAAAATTACAACATTGCGCACTATTAAAATATTGTCACGATATTGCTGCAATATTCCGTACTGTAGGGATACTTATTATTTATTATTTTACCTACATATATAATTTTTTTAAACGTTAATATAATTAATATAATTCTATTAGCATTATCAACATATGCGATACTATTAGGGTAGTCAAATGAAACGAAGCGGATGAAAAATTCAGAACACTGAAATCAACTAACATGTTAATAATCGTAGTTGGGCAAGGGCTTTTTCTATAATAAAACCAGATGACAGATGTCTTGTTCATATTTCTTAGACTGGGATCGAATTTACTTGCAAATATAGCCTCCTGTACTGCGTCCGGTAATTTCCTATCTTTCAGATTCTTCTTTAGTACCCCGATTCCGCAGCTCTTAACTATAGTTTGGTATCGTTATGTTGTCGTTGGGTAGCTTTTTTATCATGTATATTATATAATATCTGCGCAACGGCAATAGAATAATATTGACACTGTCGTTAAAAGTTACAGAATCGGAATACAGGTCTCCAAAGATGTGGAAATTGCATGATTGCAATAATAGTGGGAAATGCTGGAGCACCCGGACTTATCGTCATGCGATTTTCACATTTTTGGAGATATGAAGGAGAATCTAAAAGGCAAGAAATTTTTGTCGAACGCAACACTGCAGGTGGCTGTTTGCGAGTTCGATTCGAGTCCAAAGAATTTTATAAAGTGAGCATTCATTGTCTAGTTTCACAATGGAAGAAGTGCCTTCGTCGATCATGGTGATCATTAATACATGTTAGCTGATTTCAGTGTTTGAATTTTTCGTTCGCTATATTTTATTTGATTGCCTTAATATTGTAATAAATCTTTACATTTTACAATGAAAATTAATTTTATATCATCAGAGGAATTTGAGTGCTAATATTGGAGTTAACAGACCCCTAATGTGCGCCCTTAAATGATCTCTAGAGGTTGACAGGTTACAGCCTTTGGGACAATTCTAAATCATCACTTTTAGATACTTCACGTTGCCGGTCAGATTGACATAATATGTCACGAATTGCTGGAAATTCCTGTAGCCGAGAACAAATATGACTCGCGTATAATCTTATTGAGATCTATCGTGAGTAGACATCAAAGGATTATTGCCTTCGCAGACAGTATCGAGGATGTGTTCTGTTATATGGCATTGATGCAATTTCTCTTAAACACATTCGTTATTTGCTTCCTCGGATTCGTAATTGTAACTGTGAGTAACCTGACAAGCTCGTTTCAAACAGAATTTTACGATTTGTTCGAAGGATCTCGTCTCTGAATCGTAGTCGTTTGGCACTCATGATGGAAATATTCTGATGGTAAAGATTATACCTTATTACGCCGTCGTGAATTTAGAAGCCTTTATACTTTGCTTCAGTGGCGAATATCTCACTTCCAAGGTGAGAAAAAGAGAAGAGAAAGATCAGTTTCATATCGTAAAAGAAAGCTTAATGCATAATGAAAAGTATAGGCAAGAGGAACATAGAGTTTATCGAACCCTATATTACGCAGTGTAGGTATAATTCTGTTTCTGATAGGTTGAAATCTGTTATTTTCTTCCTATTGCTTATGCTTTTATGTATATTAGGTTTAACTGTACCCAGTATGGCCTAGTACTTAATATAGTCTTGCTGCCTATATTTACATGAATATTTAAATCTTTATTGTACCTGCACCCGTGAAAATTAAAATGTATCTCATATTTTCAATTAATGTTCAGAAAGATTTCTTATTTTATTAAATCTGTTTTCAAATTAGATTCAGCAACGCTTAGATAGGCCATATCGGGTTTGATCATTTTATATTTTATAATAGATATGTACAATATAAGCTGGATAAGAGGAATTGATTTTGCGTTAATGTAAATGAGAAATACATAACTGATATATGCGAAGAAATAAACATTAAGTCACATTTATAGAATTGTCGAACGTTCTTACGGAATTGATTCATTTTATTATTCTGTTAATAAAAATATTAAGATACGATTATCCAAAAAATTAATAGTTTACGAGTTATTTAACATTTTATGTTAATATGTGCTACAATAAAATATAAAATATCTCGTAAACTATTGATTTTTTCATATTTCTATCTTATAACTTTTACATGCGGAATAATTAGAGGAATCATATTATCTAAAAAAGATTAAATAATTCCATTTAAAAAAATAGAGGTGACCTTCATATCTTTTTGACGCCTCCACTTAGAATAAAACAATGCGATCAAAATATGTCCCCCTCGAAGTCATTCCACTTTCATTTGAAACATTTTTTTATATTATCAAAAATAAGCGAAATTTTCAAGATGTTCGATTTAAGTGAACCACTCTGTATACACACACACACACACACACACACACACACACACACACACACACCAAACACATATATAAAATAAATATTAGTGTTTAGCATATACAAGGTGCGTCCCAAAATTTTCCCAACTTTTGAAATAAAACAACAACGGTTTACTTTTTTTTTCAAATTCAAATTGTTTATTCAAAGTAGTCCCCGTCGGACTCAATACAACGTTTGGCACGATCTAAAAGCATTTCAAATGAGTGTTTTATGTCGTTCAAAGGCACGTCCTTCAGAATAGTGGTACAAGCCCTTTGGATGTCTTCTACGTCCACATACCGCTTTCCTTTCATGGACAAATGCATTTTGCCGAATAGGTAGAAGTCACAAGGTGCCATATCAGGCGAATACGGGGAATGGTTGATTGTTAAAATGTGATTTTTAGTCAAAAAATCAGTGACAAGTGTCGAACGGTGAGATGGCGCATTATCGTGTAACAAGCGCCAACTTCCTCCTTCGCGATATTCTGGCCGAATACGACGAATGCGGTGCACCAAACGCTTCAAAACGCTTACATAGAATACAGCATTAACTGTTTGGCCTGCTGGAACGAATTCTTTGTGCACAATACCCTTGGAATCATAAAAACTTCGATGGAATTTTCGTTAATTGTCGATTTTGGGCGACCTGTATGTGCGTCGTCATTTATGTCCTCACGACCGTTCTTGAATCGCGTATACCACTCATAAACACTGGCACGGGCTACACAATTATCACCATAAACTTGTTTCATCAAATTATGGGTTTCGGTAAATGTTTTACCAAGTTTAAAACAAAACTTAATATTGGCTCTTTGTTCGAAGTTCATTCTCGTACCGATGTATACAACATACTGACACTTGAGACGCCATAACTTCGTTTCCACTGAACCAAATGTCATGAAATTTTTACTGGAAGTCAGCTAGGGATGTACCTTTCAAACGCGCAATCGAACACACGGATGGCGCCACCCGACCTATCTCTATTGAAAAAGTTGGGAAAATTTTGGGACGCACCTTGTATTACAGAATATACAACAGACAAAATTATGAAAAAAAAAGTTTCCTCCTGAAACTGGGATCTAATTTCATGATGCTACACCAGCTGTCACCCATCCAAAGCTTCATCTAGTGTTGTTTGACCTCTGCGATCGTATAGGAACTATTTCTTCGATAACTCACGAATCCTGAATGTTTATAGATGATAATTGTACATATCTGGTCAATAGATATTGTCAAAAAGCTCACGTATAGTTAAAATATACGTGAATATTTAATTTTATAAATTAAAAAAATTTTAGTTTAATTTTTCCAACGAATAATTCGACTACAAGAATGATTATTGTAATTACTTTGATTACTGATATGGTACTATAGTCTTTTGATTATGGGCTTGAATGATATAGGAATGAATTATAATTAAACGCAGTTTATTTAAATAGTCATTATATGGATAGTTCTGAAAGCCAGTAATATAATAATTCATATACATAATTATTAAGATAGTGTGCTGTAATGATCATTGCGGATAATCCGATTAGAAAATTAATAATCTCAGTCAAAAATTATTGGGGAATATTTTTTTTAAATAATCTGATTAGGGAATCAATAATCACTCCGTCAAAAGCTATTGGAAAATAATTATTGCACATAATAATCCGATTAATGGAATCAATAATCACTCCGTCAAAAGCTATTGGGAAATGATTATTGCAAATAATCCGACTAGTGGAATCGATAATCACTTCGTTAAAAACTATTGGGAAGTGATCATTACGAACAATCCGAGTATTGGGTAATAAATACTCACTATTAAAGAGCGAATCATCATTATTAAAATCCAATAAATAGTGATTATTGGTTTTCCAATAGTTCATTTCCGTAAGGGCGAATATACTTTATAAATTTTTTAATACTTTATTTCTCACTTAGAGCAAGTCTATAAATCGGGCGGCATACAATTCATTTTGGTACAAGTTAAAGTCTAAGGAAAGCAAAATCTTGTTGTTATTGATAATGAGATCGCAGAAGGAATTGACAATGACAGCCGGAAAATTCGTAGATTTATCTCTGGAGGGTTTTACAAGCGTAAGAATTTTTAGATTTCCGTTTTCCTTAATGATAGTAGTAATGCAATTTAAATATAATACCTAACCCCTAGAACACACGTTCCGAAATATTCTGAAAACACGCCATGGGTCTAAAAGACCCATTGTAACTTTAGATTAATATTTTTAGACTCTTTTTTTTCTTTTTCATTTTCAAGCTTTGAAATTTAAAAATCTACTTACATAAGTTGTGATGCTAAAAATTTTTATATTGTTAAGTTAATATAAAATAAAACTCTTCTTTTCTTCGTAAATGAAGCAAGCGAATTGGGTCTGGGAGACACACCTATATACCTATGTGTTTTAGGGTTAGGTACTACAAAGTATCACTTTAACTTAATTAATAACTCTTATTATCAGTAAGAGAATTTTTTGTAAAGAATTTAATTCTTATTACAATATTATATATTATATTTATGTATTTCTATTATTATATATATTATGTATTTTTATTATATTTATATATATTTATTTTTACGCTATCTTTCTGCGCGTGATTATAAAATAAAATTTAATTGTTAATTTACAACAAAATTGATATTATATCTTTTTTTCGCAGATTCTGAAAGCATCTGCATCTTATATATCAGTGCTACATGCTATGTATTGAAACATAGAACTGTAAAAAATCTTGTACAAATATAAATCGTGTAAAAATTAAATCATTGCTGGGCAATGAATATCTAGAATTAAAATTACCTTAACTAAAACCTAACCTAATGTAAAAATAGTTACATAAACAAATATTTATATATATTGCAAAAATTTTTTTTTTATGCACTTTATTCGTTTTTCATTACTTATTTTGCTTTCACGATAGAGCCCATCAAATGAAGGAAAATTAGAATAAGGAAAATCAATTCATAAAATTTTTGATAATATATTGCAAGATATATCACATCAACACTTTTTTTCGAATTAATATAAATCTATTGATTAATATCTGTTATAAAGTAATAAAATATTATTGAAGAACACAGCACATACAACACTAGAGATATAAAGTAACTTGAAATTTTCACTTTCGAATACTGAACACTGCATAACATGCTGAACATAGAACACTGCATCATATTTCGCGCCTCAGTTGTGTTGAAGATATTCAATTCTCACTCTTGCGAAGTTTTCTATTTTATTTTTGATTGTAACTCTGTAGCACCAAGATGAAACGCGCTTTTAAAACAATTAATTAAGAATATTGCGATCTCATATCTGAAGACATTAGATGTAGAGAATCACAATTATATCTATCTATACGATATATTTTTTTTCTTTCAGATATTTGTGTTTTATTTTTACGAATTTTTCAATATGATAATGTAATCTTCAGGTTACAGATTGTTTTCATAGCAATTATCTGTTTAAATATTTTATTTTTCTGAACGCTGTGATTTTATTGCTAATCTTTTGCTATTCTTTCCTCTTTCTATTTTTGCAGAGCAAGTTAGTCGCAAATGCAGCTTACGAGGCTCCTTGATATGATGCGGAATCCAGTTAAAGTCGAATTTTATTGATTTTAATATTGATTTCCAATTGATAATCGGAAAATTTTATGATATGTCTTTGGAAATTTTTGTAAATGTAAGATTAAAAAATGCTTCTGAATGCCAAACACGTTCTTTCTAATATAAAACAATACTGCGTTTCTCAGATTTTGAAATCTTTTTATCGGTGTTATTTGCAATGTTTTATATAAAAAGATATTAAACTTACCTACACATATTTGCATAATATTATGTACGTATATTGTATTATTTTAAGTCATTAAGTGCTACGTGAACCTTATTTTTTTACATTTTACTCATTTGTTGTCTTTATACATATTTCACTTATTTCTTATTTATAAACTTTAAGAACGAGACATAGGATATATATATATATATATATATATATATATATACGTTCTCGTCATTTAAAAATATGTAAAATAACATTTACTTTGTGTTTACCATTTGCATCGTACAAAATTCTATTGAAATATTTATCCAAATTCCCTCGTCCTGGATGAATGTACAACACATAATATATCAGTTTATGTATAGTAAAGTATTATTGGCAACTTTAGATTCCCGATTCAAGATCACTTTAATTTATGTAAATTATGCACATCCGAATTGAAATGAAGTTGGCTTTTTGCATATTGCATTTTCTTATGCACGTGCACCGATCAGTCGCGAAAATTCAGCACCATATTTGGGAACTTATGTTCGCTATTTTATTCAGAAACTTCGTTTGACGATGGCCACTCTGGCGATTTTTGCTCTTGTACTAGCGTGTTGTAACTTTTTCCCTATTTTCTTGCATTTTTAAAGTAAATCATCCACAATAATGGCGACAGACAGTTTTCCCATTTCGGGAAACGACAAAATAACAGTCTCGTCGATTCTTCGTCTGTCAAGACCTGCAATCATCGTTCGATCGTAGTAACTTTTTTCTGCATTACTAAGCATATGATGAAAAGACACGTTTAGCATATGCGATTGGTCGGTGGTTAAGGTTGGCCGATCTTCTTGTTAATATCTTGAAATTTATTCTTCGAGTACGTACAGTGATCACACGGAGCCTCAATAAAAATTTACCATTTGATAGATTTGTCAATGAAAAGATAAAAAAACGTGAAATGTTTTGCGCGATGATACCGACTAGCACTGTCAGTCGATCGATTGAAATAGGCCTTCATCTTACTGGAATATGGCCGAATTCTTCGATTTTTTTTAAACTACTTTGGATATTGGTAATGGGAATAGGATTAATCTTCCAGTATTATTACCTTCTGACACATTTCAGCACCAAGGAGTTACCGAATCTGATAGACGGTTTAAGTACTACTTTGCCACATAGTCTCCTTTTCTTCAAACTGATCGTCCTGTGGGCCAATCATCGGTACGTGCTTCCATCAATATATAATAATTTTACGAAATATTATATTTTAATGTCAAAATTTAATTCAGATTAAGAATTAATTAAGATAGATTACAAAAATTAATGTTAAGTGTATTGATTGCCGAGCAAGATTATTTCAAAGTGCTTTATAATTAATTATTGTTTAATTTTCGTTCGTCTGAGAAGACATTATTTTATGCTACAAACATAATGTTATATTTTTCTACTGCGTATTGATAATACAAAGTAAAAATTCGAATGCATTTGACAGTCATAAACTTATGCTTTTGATGAAAAGAATTAGCTCGGCAATTGATTTTGTGATTTTTTTTCGTCATCGCAAACTGGTGGAAGCGCATTTTTCGCGATATATGAACCTAGATCGATATTGTGACAGTTGCGAAGTATTAAATTGCAGAATATTCAAAAATATCCTGATAGCGATGTCCAACGATTGGCACAAATATTCCAATATGTATGCCATGATCGACAAGGCGGTCCTCGCACATCGCTGCTCAAAATTGATCATCACTGTTTATTCGATAGCAGTATTGCTTTACAGTACCGCTTCTATCAATCTTAACAAGCAGAGTGATGACGATTGCCGAGAGTTATTAATAAAGATGGAATTGCCTTTCGGATTCTGCGAATCGCCGATCTATGAGATCGTAATGTTCGTGCAATTTGTTCGACTAATAGCGGTCGCCTCCGCCATAGGTATGCTCAACGCATTATTGGTTACGTTGGTGAGTTACAATCGCTTACAATTATTTTTCTTCGATTTAATAATGCAATATTTTTCTATAATTTTTGTAATATGAGTAATTCTCAATAATAAAACAATTATTTTATTAATGAGAATTTCATTATTAATAGTTAAGAATTAATTCTTTTCATTTCCACTAAAAAAATAAAAACGCATTATCATATAAAAGAATATCTCTATCGGAGGATGTGAGTTAAAGCTCATGATAATAATCATTAGAAATTTTACAAATTTTATACACGTGCGTGGATATATGTATATGTATGATACAGTTTTCAAGGCAACTTTTTTGAAAATTATAGGTCAATTCTAAGCAGAATCGTAAGACTCATAACTTGTTCTCGTAAAATTCGTAAGAACTTGTAACTATTGTAGTATTCTAATGCGCATGTATCATAAGACGTAAGATTATTATTCGTAAATATTTACGATTTCTAAATCTTATGGCTAATAAAAAGCTGTCTGTAAAAATATCGTATAAAGATGTAAACAAATCAAACACTTCAAAATTCTTATAAATCTTACGAGAATATGTTACGAACCTTACAATTTTGTTTAGAATTTAGGCATTACTTTCTTTTTTCTGATTGATGTTCTTTAATGAGAAAAAAAGTTTAAAAAGATAATAATTTTTAAAGATAAAAAAAAGATTGTGTTATAAATATAACAAGTTATTAGTAATTAAATAAATCAAATATTCAATGAATAAAAAACACAATATTCAATCAAGGTAGTTCTTCATGCCTAATAATATTTTTTTTTTACGAATTTATACAATTTCCAAGCAAACTATATGCATCGATTATTTGTCGGTCTCAAAACATAGTCCTAAACCAAAGCTAGAGTAATAATATATAATAAATTAAGTTGATAAGCAATTTAATTATCTTAAATTGTTATATGAATTCATAAGAAATATTACTAGACATGAAGTAATGCTTTGATCGAATATAGCGTTTTTTACTTATGTATGTTCCGTTTTATCCATCGATTTTCACTTAAAATGTTTTAATGTAAAGTTAACAAAATATCAATTAAATCAAATAAACAAGTTACAAAACAAGGAATTTTTAACTCATCGAAAGTTCATAAAGAATTATATTCGTCATTTATGCGCAACACACGAAATGTAAGGAAAGCACTGCACTGGAGAAAAAAAATTTAAAAAAGTATATACAAGAAACAAAAGAGTAGAAGTTAAATCGAATGGTATAACACGAAATGTAGGCGCAAGTGGTAACACATATGTCACACATGAGACATGACAATTCCAAACTGACAGATTCTCGATCCGCAGTAGCGATGATCGATGCCCATAGCCCGCAGGGCTCAACCTTATCCCCTCTTTTCTATAAGTTTATCAGGTTCGCATCTCTGCATTGTTCTGCAATTCATTCGCGTTTTCGATCTACGATCTATGCGCATGCGTAGCGTCGGCTCTTCATGTTGGGTTTCGCGCTTAGGTAGGGTGATTTCTCTTTGGGGTTGTTCCCTTAGAGCAATAAAATTGTTCTATATTGCTGTTCGTATCACGAGTTGGGTAAGATCTTTTGACGACGTTTGATGCTTTGTCGCAAACTGGCTGGCATATCCATTTATTTCGAAGACATTTTAGTATGTATCTAAAACAAATTTAAAATAGTCAACTTGATTATTTGTTCCTTTATATCGCGTATATATACTATACATTTTACATTTATCTATATACATATTACATTTATCGCTATTTGCGATACAAATTTTATCAAATGTGTATATTGCGCTTCATCTAATAAAATTTTTTTCTTATTTCATCTGTCAATAAATTCATATACAATATATATTAAAGATGTAATATATTATATTATAAAGTACACGCTTGAACAATTAAAAAATATTATAAGTACAATTTATCTTTATCTTTAATATAATTTAAATTATATATATATATATATATATATATATATGTATATATAATTTAATTAATGAAATGCATTAGTAAATATATATGTTATTAAAAATATTATATTTTTTAATATAGAACATGTATTTATTATTATATACATTATTACATACATCAAATAATATTTATGTGATTAATAATATACATATATATGATTTTTCATATATTATATTTTTAATATAGCATATGCATTTATCGATACATTAAATAATGTGTAATTAAGTAATATGTGTAATTAAGTAATATGTACTATTTAAATTATATTAAAAATAAAAGATTATTTGTATAATACTTGTTGATGTACTTCTGTTTAGCAGTCATGTAATTAAATAATTAACAATATACAGATGCTGCACATTGGTGGACAAATAGACCTTATGCAACAAGAAGTGGAAGAGATTTTTGTCAAAGATAACAAACGTGATTTATCCATTATCATTGTGAAATCTTTAATCGATAAGCATCATAAGATTATCGCTTTCTCGGAGAGCATCGAGAGTCTTTTCACTCACATCGCTCTGATGCAATTTTTCTCGAATACTTTGATCATATGTTGCATCGGATTTCTTATAGTAACTGTAAGTATTCGAGATCTGCAAGTATTTGTTTAAATTTTTTAAGCGTCATATTTGAAATTTACGTACGTACATATTTGAAATTTCCCCAATGCACTTAATTAATGCACTTTACAAAATATGCGAAGATATTGTCTTTAAAGATGATGTCTATCCGTATACTTGTATTCGATCGTTGAACGTAAGATCTTATACATTTTTAATTGGAAACAATTAACGTAAACTTTTAATTTTACTTCGAATATACGTAATTATGTATATGTCATGTGTATTATACCATATTCAGGGAATGAAGTAATTATAATTATTTGTAATACCATTATTCTTCTTATTACTATTCTGTAATAATGATTTAACAATAACGAATTTTTTTATGATTGTAACGGTAACATCAAAGTTAGAGAGTCACTCGATCATTCCTTGTAAAAAAAAAAGTTGGAAAAGTTACTAAAAAAATTAACTCAGCATTTGTAACTCGTTTCTTTTTAATCATCACTTCTAATTTTCGTACAAAAAAAAATAATTTATAACAAATAATGTTATTATTATTCGTTATTTACAAATTACTTTTTTCAGTAAATAAACGTATAATGATACAAGTTATTTTTCAAAGTGAATGACTTTCTCTTAGCACAATCTCAGCGTTTAGTTATCATTATAGTCATAAAAAATTGCAACATTATTATCAAATTGTTATAAATTATTATAAAATCAAATTATTATATCAAATTATTATAAAAAGTAACGAAAGAAATAATCGAATAATTTTTCCATTCCTTTTACATATTTTTATTTCCAATATATTTCATGATATTCAAAATAACAGTGGTTTCAGATTCGTGTTCGTTGAAATCGCATTGTAGACATGAAACTCCACTATTCTGTACACAAACAGAAAGGAAGTAAAAAGATTGTTGTGTGAACGCATTCGCATGACTTCGAGGTCTTTTAAGAGTCATTCTTTTTGTTAGAATGTTTTAAGACTAACCGGATATCTTTGATTTCTTTTATCCTTACATAAAGCTTTTTGCTGTATAGTGGAAAAGGATTGCTTTCTATTCCCGTGTCTGAGGTCTTATAAAGATTCTTATAAAACTTATTGAATTTTCTTTCCGATCTTTTCTTGACTTGCAGTCGTTGGGCACAGATGAAGGCGTTCGAATGTTAGTAAAAACCTTGTTTTTTTACATCGCTATTACTTTAGAGGCATTTATCTTTTGTTTTGCCGGTGAATATCTGAGTAATAAGGTAAGTACCTGAAATTATTTATTAGTTTTTCCCTGTTCTTCTTAAATCTGTTAATATTAAAAAAAGATCATATATATATGATCTTTTAGCTGATGTTATCTGGGTGGGCAAGAAATTGCTAATGTGAAAATGGACCATCGAGCATGCCGAGAATGTCGATTATTTCTTTACATGCACTTGACTCTCATTCGCATTTTAGAGTAAAACAATTGGCGATGCTGTATATGGATCTGTTTGGTACAATCTCAAGCCTCAAGATAGCCGTATTTTACTATTTATGATCATGAGATCGCAAAGACGACTGACAATTACTGCGGGAAAATTTATGGATTTATCGCTGGAAGGATTCGCAAATGTGAGATTTCAATAACGGTTATTGTGGATTTTTTATAGTTATGCATAAGTTAATAACAAACATCTGTGTTATAATATATATTAAATATCTATGTTATGTCGTTTTTATTATGATAGGAGTGTTAAGAATTATTGTATATCATATGTGATATTCGATTTGTCTTGTAAGGCACTATTTATGGAATCAAAATTAATCATTGGAGTTTATCTCCGAATATTAATATTAAAAAAGTTTAATATTGTTTTAAACAGAATAACAGTAAAGAAAATTACAATTAATAATATATTACGTGAAAGCAATTTTGAGTAGCTTACACTTATTTCACATTAAATGTAAAATAATAAGTAAATATATTACATTTTTTATTTATTAGGTGTTGGAATTAATTCGTAGCGTTTTTAATGAAAGAATGTTATTTATTTCACATGAGCATTAAAAAATACATTAATGAAAGTACTTCCCATCACTTGTAAAACGCTACGAATTAATTCCAACACCTAATATATTATTCATATCGTTTTTTCAATAATGTTTTGTTTCCCTGTTGAAAAAAACTGGGTAGGGACCTATATAGGAAATTCATATGGCAATCCGTATGAGATTTTATATTTTCCATAAGGATTTTGGGCCAAAAATTTAAAGCCTATGTGGATTGCTGTAAGAAATCATGTGGTTTTCTATGTCAGAATTCATTTAAATGGATTGGACTCAAGCTGACATTATTATTCAATATTCGAAAAAAAATTATTTATACTTGTAAGATTTACATATTTTATTATTCCTAAGAAGTTTTTGTAGTAATTTTATCTGAAATAAACTATTTAAATTGATTTTGAAAAATGCACTTTAATAAGATTTAATCCTAGGATCTCTTGATTATGAATCTCCTTCGTTACGTGCTACATCACTTCTTCAATTAATGTAATTTATTGTCTGTTTAAGTTATAAGCAATGCAGAATCCTAAAATTTGCGGTTTAAAATATAGGAAGAAAGTTTCTTAAAATTAAATAAAAAAGTTATAAAGTGTGTATATGCATATGCGAATATTAGACAGATTACGATATACCTTATAGATTTCCATATGGATTTTGAATATCCTATATGAATCCCTATGGTTTCCATGAGAACCCACCTGGAAATATTCAAGGGTTATAATGTTTTTAATCTACATGCACGGTAAATTGATTTATATTGCGTATTATTTAATTTTTCAGAGTTTGAAAGCCTCCGCATCGTATATATCTATTTTATACGCAATGTATTAATTTTAATACTGAAAAAAATGTATATACTTATCGTTAGAACCATGTATACACGCTGTTAGAAGGTATTTATTTCTTTTTATAAATTAATTGTACCAATGTAATAGCAGAAATTGTGGATTGTGTATACAAATAAAAAAATACATAAACCTTTATCATGATATTTTAGTTAATCCTGTGACACTTAAAGTGGAAAAATTTTATTTAATACAATTTTATTATGATTTAAAATATTATATTCTAGCATTTGTCGTCGTTTTCTCGTTAAATAAAGAAATATTGTTAGAACTACAGAAAAATTAAGCAGGAAATACAAGAATATATAAAAATATTTGAAAATTTTAATGCTATAAGAATTAAGAAAAATAATTTCATGTGTAATACCAAACAGATTTATTATTAAATTTAGCATTTTAGAGAAAAGATTGTATTTACTACTTAATTATTAAGATAAATAATTTCGTATTTATAAAAAAAATTCTTTAAAATAAAAATAAAAAAATTGGAAACCACACATATGATATCACTGTTTTTCCATGAAAAATCATCTAATTACTGCACATTTGGAAGCACTTACACTTATATAATCTTTTCGTAGAAAAGAGCGTTTTTTTAAAGCGTTATTTTAGCGTTTCTTCATAGAACTATTATTCTAGATCTGTGCTTGCTCCCGTGAAGGTAGAGGAAAATCGTTTCTTACATTATTCAGGCTAACAATTTGTCCTATCGGCGATATTTTTTACGACAGAATAAGATAATTATCGTATATAGATAAGCATCGTAATCATAGTTCAATTGTTGCAGTTTTATACAATTCCCTCTCTATGTTCAATATAAACAGCCATAACATTTTTACTCTCAATAGTTACAATTGATCGGTGATTATTTCTATGTCTGGCGACCCTTGCGTAATCAACTTGCCGTTCTTGAGTCGTTTTAGATCTGTACTCAGATATTTAATCCATGGCTATATGTTAGTATCGACGAATATTCTAAGTTACATTTTGGATATTGTTGTTATTGAATTTTTGGCCAAATTTTATAAATATTATAAAATAATATAAATTGATGAACGGATATTGGTATATTTCGATGTAAAAGACGTATCAAGACGCGATAAAATGACGGCTATAAGCACTGTTGCTCTTTCGGTGCAAATTGGTCTTCGATTTGTCGGGATTTGGCCTAATGCGTCGTATGCGCTGTTTTTTCGGGGTGTTTGGATATTGACCACTGGTATAGTACAGACTTTCCAGTACTGGTGGATTATTATTCATTTAGGAACCGACGATATGTCACATCTGATGGACGGTTTGAGTGTTACTATGGAATACAGCGTGATGTTCCTGAAATTGATTATTTTATGGTTGAATAGTCGGTAAGAGAACATCTTTTACGTTGTCGAGGATAAAAATCGAGTTTATTTGTACAAATCCTGAAAGTCACGATTCTTATAGCAATATTTCTATAAAATAGAGATTAATGTCTTCTATCTATTATATAACAAAAATCTCAATTTTTAAAATTTTTAAGAAAGAAGATACAGTAGATTTATTCAAGTAGATTTTATTCAATATCTTCTTACAATTATCTTTAGTTTAACCAGTTAAGTCATATGGCCATACAAGTATGTATTGTACTATTTTTTCGCAATAATTGCCAATGTACAACCGATTTTACATGAAGCTATATTTACACGAAAAATTATTTTAACCTACTGTCTTTCTGGAACTCATCCTCTTCTTGTTCTTATTATATTCTCATCTTATTGTTAGTGTGAATCGTTTAGTCAATTCTCGCGGATAGAATAAACTGCCGCAGTATATTTTACGATATCCTAGCTACGATGGCTGCAGATTGGAGGGAAGCCGCTATCAGTGAAATACATACCATGAGGAACAAGGCAAATCTGTCGCGGCATTTCTCCAACGTGATCATCGGACTTCATTCGGCCGCGGCATTTTCCTATGGTATTGGCGTGCTCGTATCCCATAGTAATGATTACAACATTGATGGAGACAAGACGCCTGCTCGTGAGTTCACGCTTAAACTACAGCTCCCGTTTGAGAGTGACAAGTCACCTCGATACGAGCTCGTTATGTGTTTGGAGTTTTGTCATCAATTGGCATCTTCTGCCATGACTGGCGTATTGAATTCTCTAATCGTCACATTAGTGAGTGCAATCTGTAAAAAAAGAGTTTTTTTTAAATATTATTAAGCTAGATCTATTTAATTAGATGATATCATGTGATAATTGTTTTTGTATTTTTAACGACATTGTATTTAGAAAGTCTTTTTCTACAATATTAAAAAGAGCAGAAAAAAAATATCAGCATCCTATAATTCAATGTTATGTATATAATTGGAAGAAAGAACTTTGATGTTCTTTGTCAGCATGTAAAATGTTATTACTAGCGAATTACCTAGAGCTGAACATATTAATTTTATAATCTGTCACTTTTTCTATTTAATAATTGCGCGTATCGCTCATATAGACGGCTATAATATTTGAAAACAATCAGATTACAACAATCAGATATCAGTTACAATCAGATACTTGTTTATATGAATTATTTTTTTCTTATTTTAATATTCTAAAGTACAAAATATTTATCATATGTTACGTTTCTTATTTTCTTATATAATTATATATATATATATATATCTAATTAACAATTAATTGTTATCTCTAATGGTGTGAAATATCTTTTCTGTGAACAGAATGTGTTTACAGAATGTGTATTTTTGTAGATTCTTCATGCGAGTGGTCAGATAGAAATTTTGTGTGATGCATTAAGAGACGTTTCTTCCGATAAAAACAATCAACGTTTTGTTATTTCCATCATGAAGGAATTGATCGGTAAACATCAGAAGATCATTGTTTTTTCGGACCAAATTGAAAAAATTTTCTGTTACATAGCTCTAATCCAATTCTTGTCAAGCTCCTTAGTGATTTGCTGTTTAGGGTTTATGATTGTAACAGTAAGCATATAATTGTTCACCAAAATCTGGAGAGAATCAGCGTCTTAGGGTGGTAACGATTTATATTGCAGTTTGATTTATGTTGCAGTCGATAAGTACGCAAGACTCGGATACGATTGATAGTTCGTCATTAATGAAAGCTATTGTGTTTTACATGGCTGCTACGGTAGAGGCGTTCATCTTCTGCTTTTGTGGAGAGTATCTCAGTGCCAAGGTCGGAATGCACAAGAGAGATTCTCATATTTGATTTGCATTGACATTAATTTATGCAATTCGTATACGTATCTGGCGATTTTAAATAATGTTACACTGCATTTTCATCGTGGAACAATTTAAAACAAAACACATTTTTAAACAAAGAAAAAAGATAAAATCTTCTTTTCCTCTCCAATGTGAATGTGTTGCAATGCATCCCTACTAATTATATACTGTCATATTCAAACTAAAAAAGTGCTTGTTATGTTAAATAATTCCAAACGCAGAGACATAAATATTATATTTAAATATATACCATTCTATGTTATGCAACATTTACTTACTATATTTCTTGGGATAATTATTAAGTGATTATTACATAAATTAATTTTAATACTTCCGTAATTATTTAAATAGAACGCATTCTGTAATAATTTAATTTTTTTATAATTTCTATAGTACAATCAAAATGTGTTTAAACTTTTCCTTTGTATACTGCATAGATGAAGCTTTATTAATTTAGTCATTTATCTCACCGATAACACATTTTGCGACATTTTTCTTCAGAGCAAAATGATTAGCGATGCAGCGTACGAATCGATCTGGTACGATTTCAAACCAAACGAATGCAAGCTTATCCTGTTTATAATATTGAGATCACAAAGAAGGCTTACCATCACGGCTGGAAAGATCATGGACTTGTCACTAGAGGGATTTACGAGTGTAAGATTCCAACGCTGAACTTTCTGTTAATAAAATTCTCGTCTTGATGTGGAACAACACTGTCATCATTCCAAAAGAAATCGTGATATACTTTTTAATTACTATTTTTTAATTATAAGTCTATTTTTTAACTATCTTTTAACTGATAAGAAAGGGATCTAAGTGTCCTTCTTCGATTTTTAATAAGCTAATATGTTATTTTTAGACAAAAAATAAGAAACATATATTTTTTAAACTGTATCGCATTTTCAAGAGGTGAAACATCTTTTAGAAAAAAATAAATTTTCTTTTTTTAAAGCGAACATCATCGAAATTTTAGAGATAAAAAAAGAGATAAAAAAAAATGTTAGAAATAAAAATTGAATAGTTTCAAGAAGACATTATAACAATAATTTAAAAATATTGTTTAAATAAAAAAATTTTTTTATTTTTAAAATATAAAAAATTAAAAGATGTTTTAAATTATGATTATTAAGTACTCTTAAAACCATTCAACTTTTATTTTAAACTTTATTTTCTATCTTTTATAGTTCCTACAATATTCGCTTTAAAATAAAAAAACCGACTTTTTTAAAGGATGTTGCACTCCATGATCGTATAAAAGAGCACGTATAAAAAAGTATGTGTTTCTTATTTTCATCATTTCATAAAATAACATATTAAAAACTCATCAAAATCGAGGGGAAACACTCGAGTACCTTCTTTGTGAGATATGTATATTTGCATAAAAATATTCGATTTATATTTACATAGTTTATTTATTTATAAATTTATTTTCTTGTATTTTTTCATTATATTATTATTTGATAATTTTTCTAGATTATAAAGGCCTCTGTTTCATATATATCATTATTACACGCGATGTATTGAAGTTCGAAAATTGTGGGCCAATGTGCTTAGATGCCCATTACATGTAGCTAAAGATATTAATAGAAACTCTTTACCAGTCCTTGCTTGTCGATATCTATGATGATATGACAATAATTATGCAAGTTAAATGTAGACAGTACGTGATGTACCAATTTATTATCGATATTGATAATAAAATGTTTAAATTTTCAAGATTTTAGTTACATATATATATATATATATATGTATATGTATATGTATATATATCTGCATATTTTTTCCCATGTATCAATTTAAAAAGAATAATTCAATTGTTTATACATTATTACTATCTTTTTATTACATACAGGGTGTTCGTAAAAACCGTAACAACGCTTAAAAGTAGTATTTCCAAATCCCGGAAAATTTGATCAAGGAGACAATGAGGGAAAATAGAGAGGATATAAAAGGACAGTTAGACTCAGTCTTACTTAGGTATATGCATGGTAGCGAACACCTGTCAGTTGAACGCACTCTTTACGATCCCGGAATATGGGTCAATGTCCCGAAAGAATGTTATGACATCTGTTCTGATGGACAGTGCGAACGTCGATCCTACTTTTGGGTCAAGAAACTTAATCCCTTTGACTCGGGACTGGACCACATACGATCTCAAGAATTAAAAAGAACGGGATATTAGTCATAAATTTTGCGTGCAGGATAACCATTGTCAGTCGCAAGTCTGATCTTAGATAACGTTAGCGTGGGAAATTGTCCCATTTTTATGATTTTTGGCGCGATGTGGCGCCTATTTTTTGTTCTTAAAATGAAATTGCTGGTCAGCCTCGTGCGACAGCTTGGGTATTTATTATTGCGTGACTTAAATACATTTAGGGTATTTCGCAATTTTGCCGCTTTTCCAGTTCTGCATTAATGTTGTTATTCTTTCCGAATTGATTGGCGTTTATGAGTTTTCGCGGAAGTCTGGTTCCTCTAGTTCTTTCAAATCGTTATCAAGGGATTCGAGTCTCACAGACGCCAACCGTAGTCGCGATCGTGGAGCCGAATCTTTTGAAAGAAAAGAATCGTAGCATCTACAGGACGTAACAGTAGATTACCGAGATTATTTTGAGATGATAATTCTAATAATATCAAAATGTTGAGGGTATAATAGTTTTTGAAATATAATCACTTAAAGTTAGCGAATCATACCGCCTAAATTCACGCGCTTAATTATAATTGGATTTTCCGTTGTATCACATTTAAACGCGAGAACTTTAGGCGAGATGATTCGATAACTTTAAGTGCTTATAATTCAAAAATTATTAAACGCTCGATATTTTGGTATTAGAATTTTTGTCTCAAAATGATCTCAAGAATCTAATTTAAGCGCTACTACAGAACATCTTGTATATTGGATAAGTGCAAGATAATTTGTGTCTGACTTCAATCGATTTTTATCGATATTATACGGTGGCTATTCGTAATATATATTTTATATATTAGTATCTATATATTACATACTGCTTAAAAGATACTGTTAGCTGTTATGTAAAATTGCAGATTCATTTTGATTGTGTTTGAGTTGTGAGAAAAAGTATTAAAAATGAATAAAAAAAAATTATGAGTTAAAAAATATGTTAGTTAAAATCTGCACGGTTAAGGCCTTAGCAGAATGACTGACTTATAATCTTTATAATCTAAGTATTTTGTCTTTAGCAACGTACAATAACTGTTTTGCGACTTAAGTTTTAAAGATATATATATATATATACATATGTCACACACTATATGTATGTACACTTTTAAGACTAATTAAGTCACAAGTTAATATTGTGTGTTACTAAAGACAAAAGACTTTAGTCGTAAGGCATTGTCTTAAGATTATAAGTCAGCCATTTTGCTGAGGCCCTTAGAGTATTGAGAAAATTTATTAGATATCCTGGTTTACAAGTCGAAATCAAATCAAAATCGATTGATTTTTCGGATCGTTTGATTTGATATTGACTACATTTTCTATTGATCTTTGAAAAAGATCGACATTTTATCAACGCTATCGAGAAGATACTTTCAATGCTGCATCGATAAAATGTCGATTTTCTTTTGAAGATCAATAGAAAATTTAGTAGATATCAAACCAAACGATCCTAAAAATCAATCGACTTTAAATCGACTTGTGAACCCAGATATACGTGAAAATAATTGTAATGAAATGGAATATTGTAAAATTTTGTTACGATAACTTTGATCTTGAAGACTAACCATGCTCCAGTTGGTCTTCATTGTCCTTGTTTAACATTCGGTGAACAACAAGGATAAAATGACATCTGGATGGTGCTCTAGTTGAAATTTTGAAAATAGCTCTGAATAACCGATTTGGAATTGCGTTGATGTAAGTGGGATGAGAAATGAATAGCAGATTCATGTGACGAAATGAACATTAAGTTATCTACTGAACTGTCCTACAAATATATAAATGCATTATACAAGTTTAATATTATTTATTTTTCTTTCTTGTGGTGTTTCGGCCTGGTGTTTGCACCTGATGTGTTAAACTAATAACGTTTCGTGCTTTCCTATTAATAGAGCGTGTAACGTCATCCAATAGCAAAGCATTTTCCAACCTAGGTTGGTGCAAACTCGGTCGAAAATGCTATTAGAATAAGTTTATAAATTGGGGAACACATCGTACACAGCAATATCCCGAATATATCATATAGATGTCCTACTGTGTAGACGTTCTACTTATCACTATGATAATATGGACATTTTTAATGAGATATAGTTTGCTTTGATGAATTAAAGCCTACAAAGAATAAAATCTTGCTTTTATTAATAAAAGGTAGAAGGAATTGACAATGGCGGAAAATTCATAGACCTATTTCTGGAAGCTTTTACAAGCGTAAGAATTTTGAAATTTTTTTAAATAATAGCAATGATATGATTATATGTAATATAATACTTAAGCATTACGATTTAAACATTATTGTCGTAACTTAATTGATAACTTTTATTAATCAACAAGATCTTTACAGTTAATAAAAAAATCATATTTTTGTTATATAACATTATTTTATGTTAACTTTTTTTACGTGATTATAAAAGCATAAGAATTTAATTGTTTATCTTTATGTGTGTTGATGTTACACGCCATATATTAAAAATATATAAAAAATTATAAAAACCTTATATAAATATGGATCTTTTTCTTAAAAAATTAAATTATTGCGGTCAATATCTTAAATTAAGTTTAATAAAAGTAGAAAAAAATTATACATATATATACAAATGTTATATATAAATATTATATAAAAACACTTTTTTATGCAATTAACTTTTTCATTTCTTGCTATTCATTTTGTTTTCAGAATAGTCATAAATTTTTCAATTAATAAAAAAATGAGAAGAACAAGAGGCCAATTCATAACAAAATTATTTGCAACATATATTACATATAGCAAGCAATTACATCAATCAACACTTCTCTTTCTCTCTTTGAGAAAATAAACTTACTGATTAATAATTGTTATAAAGTAAAAAAATGTTATTTAAAACACAGCACTAGATATAAAGCAACTTGAAATCTTCACTCTCGAATATTGAACACAGAACACTGCGTTATGCTTCGTGCATCGGTTGTGTCAAAGATATTCGACTCCCTCCCTTGCTCCACGCTTACTTTCGATTATAACTCTGTAGCGCATTATGATGCATAAGCTTACCCGAAATGTGCCTTTTGCATTTTTAAAGCAAATAATATTGCAATTGCACACCTGCAGGGGACACTCGACATGGAAGAGTACAAAACTTATTACCTATGATTTATTTTTTCCCTTCGGCAAACCTGAAATCATAGTGTCACGTAGTTTTCTTCTTCTTACGATATACTAGGTATATGTGCGATGAATAATTTCCATTGATCGACGATCACTGGGTTTGTACTTGGGCGATGAACTCTCTAGAATCCTTCAGGATTACTCAACGTTGCATGGCAAGTGGTAAGATTTCTACGTCGTATCGAACTATCAGTAACAATGTGATAACTTTTCAACTGTTATTAAAGGCATTAAGAGAAGCTCATTGTCAAACACACCGGACAGGATCGCCCTGTTATATAATCGGAGTTAAAATGGGTCTTAAAACAACCATAAGCCCTTCGGTTGAGTTCGGGCTGCGGGCTATTGGGATTTGGCCGGGATCTCACAGCATCTTATTTCGGACTTTTTGGACAATCTCCTTGGGTTTCGCTCAAACATTCCAATTTAAATACATCGTCGCTTGCATCGAAACTGCTAACTTTCTTGATCTGGTAGACAGTGTTAGTACCACGCTGCCTTACAGCTTGCTCTGTTTAAAATTAATTATCCTCTGGCAGAATCAAAGGTAAGAAACTTATTTATATATATTGATACAAGTTGAACTTTTATATATCTTAAAACAATTATTTGTCAATGTATAACATTTTTTATGATACAAAATTGACGGAGGAAAAGCAGTTGGGAATTATTTATCTTGTTTTCATATATATGTACATAAAAAATTTACGTAGTTACAATTTTTTTTTTCTTTGTAATCTCCAATCGGAACTAATTTTGTTACATGATATGCGATAGTGACAATTTTTTTAGATTATTTAATGACATTTTGACATCGATGTCACGAGATTGGCGTAACTGTCATGTCGTCGCTTTCGATGTACGCATTATGACGAATAAAGCAAATCTTTCTCATCGTTGCTCGATGTTGATTATCGGAGTATACTCGATTGCTGTTGTGGTTTATGTTGCCGTTATAATGGAATTTAATAGCATTAATAGTAAGTCCGGCAGAGGAGAGCTCTTTCTTAAGATGGAATTCCCCTTTGTTTATGAATTTTCTCCTGTTTACGAAATCGTCATGTTCATTCAATTTGTACAATTATTGAGCAACGCTTGGGTAATTGGGATGCTGGATGCACTGATTATGACATTGGTAAGTTTCTGACTTAGTTTCAAGACGAATATTAAATATCACTTGTAGCATGTAAATGTGATGATTTTTAAAATTAATATAAGTTCACATATGTAAGTTGATTTTGAAAGTCTAAATTATTTTGTCTAAATATTCAAGATTTATAGATTGATTTATAAACTGTGATTGGAGGTAGTATTATTGTGAAAATTTGCTAGTTATTTGTATCTACAAAAGTTCTATTCAATTTTATAATGTGACTTTTAGATATTTCATATAAGCGGGCAGATAGATATTGTGTGCCAAGGGTTGCTCGAACTTTTCTCAAAAGACTATGAATATAAATCGTATAAGGATGCGAAGAGCGCCGTTATCTGCAAGCATCAAAATGTCATTGCGTTCTCAGATAATATCGAAAATCTTTTCTCAAATATTGCGTTAATGCAGTTTTTTACAAACACGCTTGTCATATGTTGTATAGCATTTGTTATTTTGATAGTAAGTCTATTAAATATTTCGCGTCAAACAAGTAACATATACATATTCATATATTAGGTGTTGGAATTAATTCGTAGCGTTTTACAAGTGATGGGAAGTACTTTCATTAATGTATTTTTTAATGCTCATGTGAAATAAATAACATGATTACATAAAATACTGTGAAATTAACAATATATTTAAAAGCAAATTATAAATATTCAATATGTACATATAATAAAATCTTTTTTTCAACATTTTAGTCGATTGACGGTAACAAAGGATTTAATATGTTGTTGAAATCTTTATTCTTTTACATCGCTATTACTTTGGAGGCGTTCATCTTTTGCTTTGCTGGAGAATATCTTAGCAATAAGGTTTAAATCAAATACTTTGCTGCAAAGATTAGTAATATACATATAAATAAATTTTAACTATGCAGATAACTTTTATTGTACTAACATTTCGGTATAATAACATAATTTCAGAGAGCATATTTTTCACAATCTATAACGATTTGATTAAATGTTGTATCTTGTGAACGGCACGATCTTATATATTGGCAGCTTTCTTTTTTATTTTTGCAGAGCAAATCAGTCGCAAACGCAGCTTACGAGACTCTGTGGTATGATGCAGAACCTAGCGAAAGTAGAAATTTATTAATTTTAATATTGAGATCACAAAAACGACTGACATTAACAATTGGAAAATTTAATGATTTATCGTTGGAAGTTTTTGCATCTGTAAGATATTAAAATGTCTTCTGTGGAAGTGGATTGTTGTTTTCTAATATAAAACGATTGTATGTGTTTCAGATTTTGAAAGCTTCTGCCTCTTACGTGTCGGTGCTACTTGCAATGTCTTGATTAACAAAAGGATATTAATTGCAAAGTCTACATAAACATATATATATGTTTGCATATTATACACGTCTATTATTTAATTTTAAGTTATTATGTGTTACGTAAATATTTTATTTTCCTATGTTTTTTATTCACTTGTCGTTTTCATACTTTTTATAAATTTTTATTTCGAGAACAAGACGTATAAGGATATAAATATCAGTATAAGGATGTATAAATATCATTGTCACTTAAAAATACATAAAGCAGCATTTACCTTGCCATATTTATTATTTGTATAGTACAAAGTTCTATTAAAATACTTATATAAATTCTCTTGTCCAGAATGTGAATCCGTAACAATATATACATATCTGCTTATATGTAGTGAAGTATTGACGGTCTTAGACTCCCGACTCTAAGTCGTATACATCTGAACGAAAATTACATACAAAATTGAATTATTTTTTGCCTGTTACATTTCCTTATGTATATCAACCCATCATTCGCGAAAATTTAGTACCATGATCGAAAACTTATGTTCGGTACTTTCCTCAGAAACTTCTATTAATAATAGTCACTCTGGTGATTTTTGCTGTTACACTGTCGCGTTGTAACTTCTTCCCTATAATATTTCCTTGCATATTTAAAGTAAATCACCTGCAATAATGGCGATAGGCGATTTTCTCGTTTGGGAAACGATGAAATAGTTCTCGTCGATTCTTTGTTCGTCGAAGTCTGCAATCATCGTTCGATCGTAGTAACTTTTTTTCTGCATTCCTAAGTATATGACGAAAATACACGTTTAACGTTCGCGATTGGTTGGCGGTCTTTAAGGTGGGGTCGCATCCAATCTTTATGTTAATATCTTGAAGCTTATTCTCTGGGAAGTACGTGCAGCGATCGTACGGAAGTCTCGTCAGGAACTTACGCTCGTTTTGTCCGGTTTCGTCAACGAAGAGATAAAAAAACGTGAATTTTTATGCGAGATGATACCGACTAGCACTGTCAGTCGACCGGTCGAAATCGGCCTCCGTCTTACTGGAATATGGCCGAATTCCTCGATTTTCTTCAGATTGCTTTGGACATTGGTGATGGGAACAGCACTGATCTTCCAGTATCATTATCTTCTAGTACACTTTAGTATCAAGGAACTACCGAATTTGATAGATGGTTTAAGCACTACTTTGCCGTACAATCTTCTTTTCTTCAAGCTGATTGTCCTGTGGATTAATAACCGGTATGTGTTTCCTATAACATATTAATTTTATAAAACGTCATATTCTCAGATTGATTCTACGGGATAATTAAAGATAATAATGATTCGCGCGTAAAATGTGTCGATTGCCAAGCAATAAAGTTGTCTTAGATCGGTATTTGGATCTTATATTTAATATATTTTTTAATATATTTTCGGATCTTATATTTAATATATTTATAGTCGGATCTTATATTTAAGACCGTTTTAACTCTGAAGTATAGTCTTAAGACGTCATAAATCAATTCGTATTAGCAAGACATTACTTAAATTAAGATGGTCTTAAAATAAGAACAGATTATGAATACCGCCCTTAAAGTCTAGCAATCCAAGTATAACATCTAATTTCGGATTGCTGAAAAAATATTTTGTGTTATAAAATATAATATTATTTAACTTTTTTATTACATCGATAATACGGTGCAGCAATTCAAAGTTATTTGACAGTTAGAAAATTCTTTTTTTGATGAAGAGAGATGAGAAAATTATCTCGACAATTGAGATGTCACACTTTACTTTAGATCTCACATTTATGATTTTCTTCTTTTCACGAGCTAATGGAAGTACTCGTATATTTGTTGCGTTACGTCGTGAATATAGATCAGTGTTGCAACGTGTTGCAAGGTATTATATTGCAGATTATTCATTGATATTCTGACGGCGATGTCCAACGATTGGAGCGAGTATTCTAACATGTACGCTATGATCGACAAGGCGATCCTTGCGCATCGCTACTCAAAAGTGACCATCGGTGTTTACTCTACAGCGGTATTGCTTTACAGTACCGCGTCTATTAACTTTCGCAAACAGACCAACGGCAGTTGTCGAGAGTTGTTGATAAAAATGGAGTTGCCGTTCGAATTTTGCAATTCACCAATTTACGAGATCGTGGAGTGCGTGCAATTTGTTCATTTAATGGCAGTTGCCTCCGCCATAGGTATGCTGGATGCATTTATGGTTACTTTGGTGAGTACAACCAACAACGCTTACAATTTTCATTTATATCGCGAAATTTTTCATTTATATCGAAAATATAAATGAAATTAATTAATACTTAAATAAACCAGTGTTCTAATTTCTTCAAAAAATGAAGTATTAGTTATACCAAACAAATAAGAGAAATTTATTTAACTAACTAAAAGTTTTCAAAGAAATAAAAACAATATTCTATTCGTTATTTAAATCGTAATAAATGCATGACGCAAGAATGTAAGGAAAACACTGGAGGAAAAGTAAATTTCACGCGAGAGAGAAAAGAGAGAAGTTAAAGCGCATGATACTATACAAAACGCAAGTGGTAACATGCATGAGACGTACTGAATCGAGAGATTCTCGATCCACTCGATAACAGCGATCGATGGCCGCAGGTCTCAACCTTATCCCCTCTTTTATATAAATCCATTGATGTCGCTGTAATTCGTTCGCGCTTTCGATCTACGATCGTCACGCATGCGAACATCGGCTCTTACGTTGGGCTCCGTGCAGGGGTGGGATTCGCTTCCAGTTGTTTCACGTTTCTGCTCATATATAATAACGAGAATAAGACCTTGCAACTACGCTTTGTTTCGTTCTAATGCCTTACTGCGGGCCGGTTGGCGTTTCCATTTATTTTAAAGATGTCATAAAAGAAGTTTGAAACGGACAGCTTGGCCATCTGTTTTCTTTTTATTATAAACCGCGTATATATACAATCGTGCATTTTTCACGGGTATTTGTGAGACAAATTGTTAAGCATTGTTCCTCTTAGATAACTCAAAATCATCTAGATAAGATAATTTACACGTAAAAGTACATATTTTAAATAAAATAAAAATGATTTCATTTTAAATTTATCTAGATGAAGGATAAAATTATAAATTATTCGATCTATAAATAATTTTAAGATAATATTGCTTTTAAGCAAAACAATTTAAGATTTAGGATTTTAGCAACATTTTTTTCTAATTTTTTTGATGATCAATAAATGTATACGTCATAAAATTAATATTATTTAAATTATATTAAAAATTATATTTATATAATATTTGTTTAAGCGAGTACTTTTGTTTAGTAGTCATATAATAAAATAATTAATACATATAGATGTTGCACATTGGTGGACAGATAGATCTTATGCAACAGAAAGTGGAAGAGATTTGCCCTAAGAATAATAAATATAATTTACCCGCTACCATATTGAGATCTTTAATTAATAAACATCATAAAATTATCGCTTTCTCGGAAAATATTGAGAGTCTTTTTTCTCATATTGCACTAATGCAATTTTTCTCGAATACTTTGATTATATGTTGCATCGGATTCCTCATAGTAACTGTGAGTAACTGATATTTATAATTGAATTTTTGTTTGAATTTTCATTCTTTAAGTATCGTATTTGAAAATTTTCTAATGCATCGCTTTATAAAAGTTATGATGCGCAGAGATATATTATACAAAGTGTCCCATAAATATCGTAACAACATTTAAGAATAGATTTCTAAGATCATTTTTGAGACACAAATCCCTGTACTAAAATGTTGAAGCTGTAATAGTTTATGAATTATAAGTATTTAAAGTCAGCAAATTATACCGTCTAAAGTTCACGCATTTAACATATGTTCGGTATGATCAGTACGGTACAATGCAAAATGACAATCATACTTAACCGCGCGAATTTTAGATGACATGATTCGCTAATTTTAATGTTTACAATTAAAAAACTCTTATAGTCTCAACTTTGGTATTAGGATCTTCATCTTAAAATAATCTCAAGAATCTTTTCTTAAACGTTGTTACGGTCTTTACTGAATATTCTGTATAAAGATCTATGCATACACCTGCACAGGCACACACACTGAACGTGGACTTTTATTTACCTAATCGGAAAGAAATAATGATATTTATTTCTAGACTCTTATTTTAATACTTATTTATACACATTTTTATTTCGAATACTTCGTGGTATTGGAAATGGTAGTGGTTTTAGATTCACATGCTCGTGCAAACCATATGATAAATATGAATGTCCATTATCTAGCCGCAAGCAGAGAGCAAGTTAAAAGATTTCTATGTGAATGTATACTGAGAGAAAAATTTTGTAACTGTAATTATATATTACTATAATTATAATTATTATTGCTATAATAATAATAACAGTAACTATGTATATAGTTCACAACCTAAAATGACTATAATTATAATTATTATAACCATAAAATAATTGAAATTACTATAAAAATAATTTGAGCGACTATAATTTTATAATTATATTTTGGGACATCCATAAAAAAAATATATGATTTACTGTTATTATTATTATAGCAGTAATAATCATAATTATAGTAATATGTAATTATAGTTACAAACACCAAACATTTTTCTCTCAGTATACTAGCATGACTTCGAGTCATTTATTCATCTATAGAAATGTTATAAGACTGACCGGATATCCTTTGTCTTCACACAAAGCTCTCACAAGTTGCACAATAGTGGGAGATATCCGCTTGCTTCCCTTGTGTCTGACATGTCTGCTTATAGCGCACCATCTTTTTGACCGTTTTCTTGACTTGCAGTCGATGGGCACAGATGAAGGAGTCAAGATGTTAGTGAAGACTTTGTTTTTTTACATCGCTATCATTTTGGAGGCATTTATCTTCTGTTTCGCCGGTGAATATCTGAGTAATAAGGTGAATATACGAAATCATTAGTCAGTTTATCTTTTTCCATATAAAATTATTTAAAAAATTATTACTAAATTGTTGATAAAAAGATTGGACTTATATAAAGAAATTGTTTATCTGATAATATAGTATAACACACAGGATATCTCATCCACATGTACCTCTCATTTTAGAGCAGAACGATCGGCGATGCCGTATATGAATCTGTTTGGTATACTCTCAAGCCTCGGGATTGCCGCATTCTACTACTTGTTATAATGAGATCGCAAAGACGTCTGACAATTACTGCGGGGAAGTTTATGGATTTATCATTGGAAGGATTCACAAATGTAAGATTTTATTGAAATTATGAATTTTTTATAGCTACATAAGTTAATAACATAAATTAATATACTTATACTGCAATATAGAATCTATAGTCACGAAATGGAATAATTATTCAGATAATACGTCATTATATCGATGATTTCCTTGTTTTTTGGGCGAATTAAAAATTGTAGTTCTAGCACTCATTATAACACACACACACACACATACACAATTTACAATTAGTTGATCAAAAAAAAATATAAGCTATTGATGCTATTAATGCGTGCATGAATTCATAATTTTTAACAATCACCTGAACAATAGGAGAAATCATTGATATAAAGGCTCACATTTGGATAATTAATTTTATAACTGTATATTGCAATATACATTTGATGTTAATATTATGTCGTTTTTATTATGGGAAATGCTAAGAAATGTTCCATTTTTTATGTTTGATATATTCGACATCTTCGGTGTATTTTATAACGCATTATTTTCAAATCAAAATTAGACATTTTTTTCTTTTTCTAAATGTGCATATGTAAATATGTATACAATATGAGAAGAATAAATATCATTTTAAACATGACAATAGTTTAAGGATACGTATACAGTTAACAGTATATCAGAAGTAAAAGCAATTTCGAGTATTTCACTTATTTTATATTCTAATGTAATTACTCAAGATATATATATATATAATTTACATTTTATTATTCATTTCATTATTATTTGCAATAATAATGATGATAATGTTTTGTTTTATCGATTAATTTGAACAGTAAATTGTTTAATTGCGTATTATTTAATTTTTCAGAGTTTGAAAGCCTCCGCGTCGTACGTATCTGTTTTATACGCAATGTATTGATACAAAGAAAACTGCATATACTTCGAATTGTGTATACACACTATGACAAAGTCAAAGTAACATTTATTTCTTTTTAAAAATAAACTAATAATAATACTAATTGTAATAATAATAACTAATTGTAATAATTTAATAACATTTGTCGTGGATACAGACAGATATTAAACTTTTATTATTTTAGTTAATATTATTTATTATACGTAAGAAAAATCTAATTTTATATTCTTAAAAGGTGATGTTTTTAATGTAGTGAAATTATTAGGAAGTAATTCTTTTTTGAGCAGGATTTTTTGAAGATTTGGACAATTAATTTACTAACAGTTAGATAATTGGAAGGAAACAATCCATGAAAAACATATGATACTGGCCAATTGAAAGAGTACGTATCGTTTTTCATTACAATGACGCAGACTTCACAACTTCATCAAACTTTTGCGCAAACCCAGCACAAGCTCTGAAAGCTGAATTAGGATTTTTTATTGCACTCTTTGATATTTTTCTGATATCCTCTAATGTCCATCAGATTATCACTTGAATAGATTATTGCAAAACACTTCGAATGAAAAGAATTTTCTACTCGAGGCCTTAAAAATCTTCTTTTTAAATTTTTGACAAAAAAATCACATTTTCTATACTAGAATGTTATAGAAAATGATGGAAATTATTTGATCGATTAAGTAAAGATGTAATAATTTTGTATTTTGGACAGTTAAATGATTTTTTAACAATCTAGTATGAATTTTTTTACTCTATTATATCTTTTTTCATTTAATAATATTTAATAATTTTGTTAAGAAAATAATCTTTCGTATGCAAAGAGAATGATTGTACAATATATTGACTGTTACATTATTGCTTTCTTTCGATATTCATTTTCTGCCTTTTAATATATTTAAGAGAGGAAATCCTAAAGACAACTAATTATAGTAAGTAGGACTTACATGATTAAATGTCATTGACATATCATTACATATTACTATATCAATATCTTACTCACTCATGCAACATATACACATAAATTTTTGCATAACATTAACCTTTTAAATAAACGTCTAAAGCCCGATTGCACCAATGTTACTTTGATTTTAAGTGAGGCTTAAAACTCTCTCTGTCTTTTTCTCTTTAAAACGAGACAGAGAAAGTTTTAAATTTCGCTTAAAGTCAAAGTAATGTTGGTGCAACCGGATCTAAGTCCAATTCTAAAAACTTCACGTTGTTTCTTCGTGGAAACTGCTAGTCTATGGACTACTATTTCGTAAATACAAATTGCACAGCTTTTATATGAAGCAAATGTCACGACGTGACAGCTCTGAAGCGTCATAATGGACTAAGAAATGGGAAAGAAGATCTCAATTTTGAAACTATTTGAAGTTCTTGACACAAACACATATTAATGCATATACTTTAATCCTGGAAAAGGATTTTCGAATCTGTAAAAGAAGAAAAAAATAATTGTTATATGAAAATTATGGTATATGGTTTAGTCAATAATACAAGCGGCTTTTTAGAATCCTTTTAATACTTTTCTTGAAAGAGCTATTATTCTAGAACTGCGCACGCTCCCGTGCATGTAAGAAGAAACGCTGTCTTTTGCATTTTTCAAGCAACTAATTTGTCTCATCGGCGATATTTTTTATGAAAGAGTAAGATTAACCATTAAATAAATTGCAATCGTGCAGTGTAATTATAGTTAAATTGCTGCAATTTTTGTTTTATGTAAACTACTGTAATTTTTGTTTTCAGTTGATTGCAATTGATCGGTGATTACCTTGCTACAGGTACGTTTAGCCAATGAACTTTGCATGAGCAAGTCCCTCAAGTTGCCGCTCTAGAGTCGTCTTAAAATCATATTGCTGTTAGTGTGATTTGTGGCTTTAAAACGTTAACAATTTCGATAAGTATCCTAAGTTACATTTCAGATATCGCAGAATTCTTAGCCAAATCTTATATACCAGTAAATATAAATTGGAATAGTATCAATATTATTATACTTTGCTATAAAATTATAAGGTAGCATGACGACTACAAGCACTGTTGCTCTCGTGGTGCAAATCGGTCTTCGAGGAATTGGATTTTGGCCTAATACGCCGTGCGCCCTGTTGTTTCGGTGTCTTTGGATATTGACCATCGGCATAGTGCAGACTCTCCAATATTGGTGGATCGTTATTCACTTTAGAACTGATGATATGTCGCACTTGATGGATGGTTTAAGTGTCACCATAGAGTACAGCGTAATGTCCCTGAAACTGATTATTTTATGGTTCAATAGTCGGTAAGAAAATATTTTTAACGCAATAAAAAATGGAAATCAAGTTTATCCAGATCTCTTTTAAAAGTCATGATCCTTACCGCAATATCTTTTTTCTCTTAAATAAAGAGAAAAAATTATCCTCCATTTATTTTTCAATAAAACTTGCAATTGATTTGAAATATATAGAAAAGATGATATATTTAATCTAGACTTAAATACTACTGCTTTAATTAGTTAATTTAGATATTTTAGATAATAACATCACCATCTAACTGCAATAATATTTATATAATATGTGAATAATATTTATATAATAAGTGAAGCTAAGTTTATCACTACATTTTTCGTTGTATTTTATATATCGCTTCATTTATCAAACATATATTGGAAGATTAGACTTGTTTCTTTTCCAGAACCCATCCTTTTCCATTTCATGTGTTTCCACTTAATGTTAATTGTTTATCCATATATCTGGACAAAATAAATTGTCGCAGTATATTTTACGACATCCTAGCTGCGATGGCTATAGACTGGAGAGAAGCTACTAGCAGCGAAATGCACATCATGATGAGCAAGGCAAATCTATCACGGCGCATTTCCAATGTTATCGTCGCGCTCCATGCGGCATCGTTTGTTTGCTTCGGCATTGAGGTGCTTGCATCCTATACCGATGATTACGATGATGATGAAATTGAGACGCCTGTTCGCGTGTTCACACTGAAGCTACAACTTCCGTCGCAGTGCAACGAGTCGCCGCTGTACGAGCTTGTTACAGGGCTGGAATTCTTTCATCAATTGGTAGCTTCCACTACGACCGGTGTACTTAACAGTCTGCTCATCACGCTAGTGAGTGCAATATACGATAGAAAAATTCTTTTTCGATATCTTTAGATTTACACTTAGGAGATATTGCTCGATATACATGATATCAATTATTGTTTTTTTCATATAACATTGTACTTTTATCCATTAACATTGTGCTAACAAATTATATACGTATAGAGGAAAGTAAGGAAACTGTAAACATCTAAGAAAAATGTTAAATCAAAATAAATGTGAAATCAATGATTATTTACCAATTATAAACGTCTTTATTTAAAAAAATGCTCTAGTTATTATTTGACTTTAAATTGCAATAATTAACATTTATAATATTAATTTTAAATATCAAAACCTTTATCGTTCGAAATTACTCGTTGACATTCACAGTTTTGTCTTCTTTCAAAATCGAATACGTATTTATATTTATCTTAAACGATGTTTATGTTCTATAGTTTTGTGTTGTATAATTTTTTTAAATTTTAATTGACAGCTTTAATTGACTATAAAGCGTACATCAGATTCTTACTGAATATGAAGTGAGTGATTTATTATTACTCTATAGACTTACGAGCAATAAAAGAAGAATTAGAACAGAAATAAATATATTAAATATTAGAAAAATTAAAAATTAAGAATAGAGAGGTTAAATACATATATGATACAAACATACAATAGAGATAAGATATAAATAAGAGATAAGATAGAAGTAAGATATAAAACATGTTATATCAGATATATAAGACATATTATATCCTATATCATGTTTTATATCTTACTTGCATCTACTGTGTAATATGTAACTTCTATTCCTAATATGTTGTTATTTCTTAATATTTAATATTTATTCCTGTTTTTAATATATTTTCTATTGTATGTAGGGGTAATTATTTAGAATAGCGGAGTCAGCTCCGATAATTTTGACCTTGACATATGTTGGCAATGTCATGATCCTGAATGACTTTCAATTAGTCGTCACTCGTTATTTGTTATGAAGTTATCATCAAATAAAATTTGAAAAATAATGTCAGTTATACTATATAAAACAAAAATTTTCTGCTTTAAAATATATTTTCTGACTTTTCACGTACAGCGAGTTCCATTTTATTTATCCTTTACCAAAGGGCGCACGACTTTCCACGCGAAACAAATTTCATTTCACTTCCTCTCCTATCAAGAAGCGTATGACTTTTCATTCAGGTAGATCTTGCTTCGTGTGGAAAATCAAATGCCCTTTGGAAGGAGGGGTGAAACTCTCTTCGTGTGGAAAGTCGGACGTCCCTTAGCATCGGTGAAGGTGAGATGGAATTCGTTTCGCGTGAAAAGTTGTATTCCCTTAATCTCTCTCTCTCTCTCTCTCTCTCTCTCTCTCTCTCTTACGGTTCACTCCATACCTTTCTCCCTGCTAAGAGTTATCTGACCTTTCAGGTAAAGCAGAGAAATAATTACTAATTTTGACTGTTAATAACTTTTTAACTAATGACGAGCGACGGCTAAAATCTATTGAAGGTCACTATTATGACCTTGACAACATATGTCAAGGTCATCGGAGCTGACTCCTTTATTCTAAATAATTACTTTATGATAGTATGATATATGATAATCTCTTTCTATTTATTTTTATCACAGATTTATAAAAATATGGAAATATTTCAGATTCTTCATACGAGCGGTCAAATAGAGATTTTATGTGATATATTAAAGAATATCTCTTCCGAAATGAACAATCAACAATTAGCTTTCAGTATGAAGGAAGTGATTGGCAAGCATCAGAAAATCATCACGTTTTCAGATAAAATTGAAAAAATCTTTTCTTATATAGCGCTAATTCAATTCATGTCGAGTACATTGCTAACCTGCTGCATAGGATTCACGGTCATAACGGTAAGTAATCCTTTGCCAAAAGTAAAGAATATAAAGAAATGATGTTCATTTTGCAACGGTAGTGATTTATATCGTAATTCAATATGTTGCAGTCAATCGACACGCAAGATTCGGATACGGTTGATGGCACGGCACTAATGAAAGCTGTAGTGTTTTATATAGCTGCTGCAGTGGAAGCATTTATTTTCTGTTTTTGCGGAGAATACCTCACTGCCAAGGTCGGAACAATTGAAATCTTTCCACTTGATTCTCTTTGTGAGATGTTAGTTTATGCAATTATATATTCGTTCAACGAGAGAATGAAGAAAACTCGCCCGTTTTGCAGGTCATTCTTTCGTTAAAAGGAGTATATATTGATGATTTTAAATAATGGCAATTGCATCTTTTTCATGGAGAACGCATAACTATTTAAACGAGAAGTTAAATTTTTTTTTCCTATTCTTTTCAGTGAAAAGGAAAATCGGTAAACATTTTCTTTTCAATGTAAATATGCAGTGCCCCCGTAATAATAATATGAATTTATATAATAAATATTATACAATTAGGTCATATAAAAGTTTCGTTAAAAAAAACATCTTGTTTTTACATATTAAATAATGATTATTTAAGTAATTATAATAATAATTTATTACTTATATTATTTAAATAATAATTATACTTAAATTAACGTCAATTATATAATAATTCGTTGCAATTATTTGGCGAGAATATATTTTTGTGATAATTAGTATACGATTTCTGTATCAAATTATGTTTGAATTGTTTTTTTTATAAAAAAAGTTTTTATGTTAATTTATGTTATTTATCTCATTGATAACACAATCTTTTTGTAACATTGTTCTTTAGAGCAAAATGATCGGCGATGCAGCGTACAAATCAGTTTGGTACGACTTTGCACCCAAGGAAAGTAAGCTCGTCTTGTTTATAATATTGAGATCACAAAGAAGACTTACCATTACTGCTGGAAATATGATGGACTTGTCGCTAGAGGGATTCACGAATGTAAGATGTTGAATTGTTTGTTAATAAAATCCTCGTCTTGATGGATCAACTAATTATTGATGATATTCCGAACAATCGCGATTTACTTTAATAATTAATTAATTTCAAAATAATCTTTCAACTTAATTGTCTATTTTTATTGAAACATTTTGATTTATGTTTAAACAGTTTATTTATTTATAAATTTATTTTTATGTACTTTTATTATTATTATTGTTGATATATTATTACATTATTATATTATTATTATACGATATAATTTTTTTAGATTTTAAAGGCCTCTGCTTCGTATGTGTCAGTATTGCACGCGATGTATTGAAGTTCAAAGGCAAGCCGTTAGCGTATTATTATTTGCTGCTAAAGATATTAGTTCTTACGGTTCTTGTCGATTTCTGTGATGAACCGATAATAGTTATGTAAATTAAATGTAGGCATAATGTAGCAATTTACCTTCCACAATATATAATAAAGTATTTATTAGATTTTTATAATCATTATTCGCATATATATTCGAACCTTTATATTTTTTTTATATCGTAATATACAAATAATTAAATTTTTTGTGTATTAACAAAAATTCTTTCTGCTATTTAAAAAAAAATAATTTTTGATTTGAAAAGAAACGTCTATACGACTGTATAATATTAGACGTCAATAATTTAAAAGTTTTTGCTGTTTTCTACATATGAAAAAAGCATACTTTATGGTTTCTTCATTAACATTAAGTGTATCACAAGTTCTTTTATTAACATTAAGTGTACCGCAGATCAATTTTAAAATTCATTTTAATTATAGTCTTCAAATTCTCATCTTTCAAGGAAAGTGGTTTTCTGGATCGGAATGCATTCTCAAGGCCTTCATCACGTTAAACTAAGTTTTGGGATACAATTTGAGTAGTTTCTTTTATTGTATTTTTTCCAAATGATATTCAAATTTTTCGACAGGCCTTTGATGCGTTAGAATCATGTTTGGATGTGTATATTAAACACGCATGAAAAACTTGTTTTTTGCTAGCCATATTGTGGATGTAAGAAAATGTACAATTTGAAGTTTACTGAGTTTACTGTTTATAATATGACTACTGAATGACTCAGGGGGCGTTATTTGTAATTCGAGTTATGTATCTTATACATGGTGTTTCGTGAGACTTTTTCCAGTATCATTCACAGGAAAGTAGATGAGATCGAGATGAACACAAAAGTCCCATATCGTTTAGCAACATTCGCAATAATAATCGAAATATTAATTTTTGTAATTGTACTAATGAGAGCATGCCGAGAGAAACGCTCCGGCCGCTCGAGGTATAATCCGGCCTTAGTTTATCAAGTATTGGCTGCTGGCAGCGCGTTGGAGAGGCAAGGGGGGAAGTGCGCTATTACTCGGAGCCCGCTCACACACATTTTGTCGTTTCTCTCGGCGTGTTCTCATTAAGTTAATTACAGAAATTAATATCTCGTTTATTATTGCAAATATCACTAAATAATATGAGATTTTTGTGTCCATCTCGATTCTAACTATCTTCTTGTAAGTGGTGAGAGAAGTCACGCAGGACACCCTGTATACACATTAATGCCCGGATTTTTATTATCTGGTTAACTTGTGATTAAGTTTAACTTGATGTTTTACCTAATAAGCTTCATCCATGACATCAACATAGATAAAGCCGATTGGATAAAATATCAGGTTAAGCCTAATCACAAGTTAATCAGATAATGAAAAATTGAGAGCATGCTGAGTTCAGATTCCCACCCCATCACCTATGTGTACTCCATTCTTGTTGTTTATCGAATGTTAAACAAGGATAACATGGCACCTGGGGAGCACCCGAGTAAGAATCCGAATATCCTTAGTTGTCAATTAGAAAAATCCATAGAATTGTGTCCAACAAAAATTGACATAAACTTTCAAGTAGCACACAGCGCTTACAAAGCGTTAACAAAGCGTTAAAAAAGCGTATATAATCGCTTTTTTGGCGCTTTGCAAGTTACTGTGTTATTTGGGTTTATGGGTACTTAAAATATATTACCTAATTTACATTTCATTTTTGCTTGTTATCTTTTCTTTATCGTTCATCTTACATTTCAGTATATTTCATTTTTTGCTTTAATTAGGTTCGAATAATTTTCAAAAAGATTTATGCATCTTTAAAATAAGTGACTCAACAAATTAATGATTCTAAGGTTGGAAAACTCGATGTTTTTAAGCTAGACAGAAAAAAACTTCGAGATAAGACCTATCATAGATTAAATCTGATCTAGAATCCATTCCAACTTATAATCTAAAATGAAATAATCGTTCCATTTTCTCTAGAAAACACAATAGAAATCTTTATTATTTCATTTTTTTTTTTAAATACGATAGAAATCTAGAGAATATTTGAATAACTTCGATCAGTCTTGTTCCATGATATATGTCCTAATAGTTTTTTCTACACGTCACATTTTCCTCCCAAGGCTAATATATTTTGCGAAAATGTCTCGTCTTAAAAAGATAATATGTTCAAAAGACATCTTAAAACAGAAGACTTTATAGGATATCACTAAAAAAAATCATCTTCATGATGTCTCTTAGACTTTCTTTAAAGTCTTAAAGACATCTTAAAAAAGACGTTTAAACGACATCTTTAAAAAGGATGTCTTTAAAACTTGTCTAAAAGTCTAAAAGATATCTTTAAGATAGATTTTAAAAATATCTCTTTTAAGACGTCTTTTGGATTATCTTTTAAACATGTGTATACATGGGATACATTCCGAAATGTTCTCTCTAAGGAAGATTTTACTCTATACATATACGTATATGTTACGTATACATATATTTAGAGTAAAATTTTCCTCGAGAAAAGGATATTTTGGAATATACTTCAAGTCTATAATCTAACAAATTGGCGAGCATTCAATTTCAATTTCATTCCATTTCTGTGGAATACGGATAACAATTGATTGATAGTTTATTATCATGCTTTATCTCCCTTTTCCTATCTCGACTTTCTATTATATCCAATATTATTATACCTAAGAGATTCACACAGCTCGGAAGTAGTCTTTCTCAGAAATATGAAATTGTGCAAAGATATAATAGGATGCATAAGCATCATTAGCCAATCGGTCAAAGCAGATTTACGTTTTGTCGGAACGTACAGTTTGTCGTTCCTTAAACTAATCAATCTGTGGTTCAATCGTCGGTAAGATTAACGCTTAATGGTCTCTGCAGACAAGGCGAGTGATCGATCATGCCTTCATTTCATTTTTATTCTATTTCTATCTCGCGAATGATACCGGATGTAAGAAATGTCTCGCCGAAAGTTATACGCTAATCTGTATACAATGGACAAAGATTGGAGCGACGGGATCACAATCTATTCGGACGTATCCACGATGATCAGACTGATCTCGTCAATGTTCCAACGTAATGATTACCACGAATGCATCAGTCGTGTTTTTTTATGTAATCAGATTATTTAATAACTTCTGTCAATGATTAAAAGAAACGATGATTCAACTTGCAAGCTGTCCATCAAAATGGAATTTCCTTTTAAGTTTGACAATTTACCGATCTTTGAGCTAATATCGATACTTCAATTCTTTCGTGATTTATTTGTAGCTTGTATCATCGTTATGCTAAACGCTTTGTTCGTTGCGCTGATAAAATTTCATTGTATTTCATGATTTAGTAATTCGAAAGTTGTCAAAAATTTTGTTAAATTTATAAAAGATATAAGTAATTGTTTTATATTATATCTTGCATTTAATTATAAATACAGACATACATACATGTAATATAATACATACATACATACATGTATGTATATACATATAATCTTTTTCTCTTTGTGTTATCAATTCATTATTTAAAAACTCAATCAGAATTGGTAATTAATTGTACCAGTTTTTGGGATATCTATGAGAGAATACATTATTATTATATTCTATGATTTTTTATATTAGATTGTTTTTGTTCTTTTAGCATTGGAATCTTGCGTGTGTTTCAACAAATATTATAATCCTGTATTTTTAAATATAGTTTTGTGTGTATAACATTTCAGATTTTTTGCGAAGATAGCAATATTGTAAAGTATCTATAAAACTAAAGATGTTATTTTTAGGTACTACACATACAAGTTGATATTATGTGGCAAGGCTTCATGAACATTTCTTCTAAGCATACATCAAGATCTTCTCTAGCTATTATTAAAGATTTCGTTAACAGACATCAGAGAATTATTGATTTATTAGACAACATTGAAGCCTTTTTCTCAAATATCATACTTGCATCTCATCTGGAACTTTGGTCATCTTGCACAGCTTTGTGATCGTAATAGTAAGTCATAATTTTATAGACTTTTTTGTGTATAATTTTTTCCTTTTCTCTGTTTTTATCTTTGTTTCTGTCTCTTTATGTGTATTTATGGCGTATTCACGTTTAAATTTGGGATATTATTTCTAATTTTGATAAAAATTTATTTCAGAATTTTTTATATAATTCTTCAAAATTTTTATATAAAAATTTCAGAATTTTAAAAAATTTTTGAATAATTTTATATTAAAAAAAAATTTTCAGGTCTTTTAAATACAAATTGGAACACTTTTCAAAAGTGTTGAGAAAATCTACATTTTTTCCTAGAGTTTTTCATATATGTGAATTATGAAATCTTATAAAATCTGAAGAATTTGAGGGATTTTTTCAGAAATTATAGAATAAAAAATTTTTTAAATAATAAAATTTTTTAGAGTATTTAAAAAATTGTATGTATAGAAAATTTTGAGAAAAAAATGTTGATTTTCTTAGTATTTTTGAAAAATATTTTAATTCGTACATTTTAAAAAAATTTTTATTAAGAAAGATACAAAATGAGATAATAACTAAATCCCTCAACTTTTACGCAATAATTCTCGAAGTAATTATCTTTTATTACGCTGGAGAAATTTCAGTGCCAAGATTAGTATTAGACGCGATTAATCATAGAAGCTTGTCAATGCAGAGTCCATCAGCGATGTTGCGTACGAGTGCCCGTGATACGATCTAACTCTCAGCGAATGTCGGATCCTGATGTTCTTTATGTTGAGATCACAGAAACGATTAACCATCACTGAGCAAAATAACTAACCTGCTTTGGAAGATCTCACAACCGTGAGTTTACATGAATTATACCGTATGCGAAAACTTTCGTCGTTTGAAAAATAAGAATTTAATATACTTAATTGTTTCAGATTATGAAATTGTCTGCGTCGTTATATCTCGTCGTTATATAGTGCATCATTAAAGAAGAATAAAAAATTGCATCACCATACAGGTGAGTCTCCTAGAATATTAAATTAAATTTATTTCTAATATATTAACAAACTGATATTTTCTAAAGAAAAGGACTTCACTTGATTTCTATATATATAATGTAATAGGGATAGCAAAATATTTTTTAGCAAAATATTCAATTCTGTGTTGAAAGGATATTTACACACACTTCTAATATTAGAACGTTATGGAAAATGATGGAAATTATTTGGTCAATTAAGTAAAGATATAATAATTTTGTGTTCCAGACAGTTAAATGACTTCAAAAAAATCGAATGTGAATTTTTTGCACTCTAATATATTTTGTTTTATTTAATAATATTTAATAACATTATTAAGAAAATAATCTTTCGCATGCACATAGAAATAGACTATATAATATATTGCTCGTTATATTTTTGCTTAATTTCGTCTTGATATTCATTTCGTGTCTTTCAGTACATTTAATACTTTTCTTGAAAGAGCTATTCTAGAACTGCGAACGCTCCCGTGGATGTAAATAGAGATGGCTGTCTCTTGCATTTTTCAAACAATTAATTTGTTCCATCGGTCACATTTTTTACGAAGGAGAAGACTCATCATTATATATTGCGGTTGTGTATCGTAATTATAGCTGAAAAGTTGCAATTTTAATCCCCTTTGTTTCATGTAAATTGCTATAACTTTGTTTTCAGTTGATTGCAATTGATCGATGATTACCTTGCTACGGTTGCGTTTAGCCAGTGAACCGTGCGTGATCAACATGCTGCTCTAGAGTCGTTTTACTATTATTGTGATCGTGGCATTACGACGTTAACAATTTTGACAAGTATTCCAAGTTACATTTCAGATCTCGCAGATGTCGAATTACTGGTCAAATCTTACGTAACAGTGAATATAAATTGAAATATCGGTATTATTATATTTTGCTATAAAATTGTAAGATGTCACGACGCGATAACATGATTACAAGCACTGTTGCTCTTTCGGTGCAAATCGGTCTTCGAAGTATTGGGTTTTGGCCTAATACACCTTGCGCCTTGTTGTTTCGATGCCTTTGGATATTGACCATCGGTATAGTGCAGACTTTCCAATATTGGTGGATCATTATTCACCTAAGAACTGACGATATATCGTACTTAATGGATGGTTTAAGTGTCACTATAGAGTACAGCGTGATGTCTCTAAAACTGATTATTTTGTGGTTCAATAGTCGGTAAGAAAATATTTTCCATGCAGTCAAAAATCAAAAGTCAAGTTTATTTAGATTCATAAATCATTTTTAAAAGTTATGATTCTTATAGCACTATCTTTTTTCTCTTAAGTAGAGAAAAAAATTATGTTTTCCTCTATCTATTTTTATATTTTCAATAAAATTTCCAATTGATTTGAAATCTATAGAAAGAAAGAAAGAAGAGAAGGAAAGAAGATATATTTAATCCAGACTTGAATATGACAGCCCTTATTAGTTAATTTAGACAATATAAACATCAGCATCTAACTAATAATATTTAATAATATTTATGTATAATATATAGGTGAAGCTAAATTTATCATTACATTTTTCATCATAATTTATATATCACTTCACTTATTATCAAATATACATTGGAAGATCAGATCTGTTTCCTTTCCAGAACACATTCTTTTCCATCTTATTATGTTTCTATTTATTGTTAACTGTTTATCCATACACCTGGATAGAATAAATTGTCGCAGTATATTTTACGACGTCCTAGCTGCGATGGCTGCAGATTGGAGGGAAGCCACCAGCAGCGAAATGCACATCATGATGAGCAAGGCAAATCTATCGCGGCGCTTTTCCAATGTTATCATCGGGCTTCATTCAGTAGCGGTGATGTGCTTCGGCATTGAGATGCTCGCATCCCATACCAATGATGCCGATTATGGAATCGAGACGCCTGTTCGCGCGTTCACATTGAAGCTACAGCTCCCGTTACAATGTAATGAGTCGCCGCTGTACGAGCTCGTTATGAGTCTGGAGTTCCTTCATCAATTGGCATCTTCCACTGCGACCGGCATACTTAACAGTCTACTCATCACGTTGGTGAGTGCAACATACGATAGAAAGATTTTCTTTCGATATTTTTATACTTACACTTAGGCGATATTGATCATGTCAGTTGCTGTATTTTTCCCATAACGTTGTAATTTAATTTAACTAACTATATTATTTAACTAACTATATTACTATTTTATTTAACTAACTATATTATGCTAACAGATGATATATTATATGTAAAGAAGAGTGAGAAATTGGAAGCATTTAAAAATAACTTAAATAAAGTAAATTGGTAATTGTTTACTAACTACAAACATATTTTAAAAAATGCTCTAAATTGCTTTAAAATGCTTTAAGTTGCAATAATTAACATTTATATATAAATGATATAATTTTAAACAACAAATAAAATCTTTGTCGTTCGAAATTACTTGTCGGGACAATGCCGAATTAAATTTTATTTTTGTTTAATTATTTTTACATTGTTAACATATACATGTTAACTATTTTAGTTTGAAGAGTCAATATCCTTTTAAAAATTTATTTAATTGAGTAACAGTCGTCGATTCTGTTAATTTTTTTTTAAATATTCTCTTACTCTCCCCTCTATCAAAAAACATAAAAAATGATATTTATCTTAAACGATGTGTGTGTTCAATAGTTTCGTGTTAGATTAATCTTAATTGACAGTACTACACTGAAAGAAAAGATTGGCTGCTGCAGCAAATTAGATGGTAAAAATATGACATTAGCATTTTTAATTGGCTGCAGCATCCAATCTTTTCTTTTATTGTAATGCTGTCAATTAAGATTAATTTAATTGTACATAATTTATTTTGTGTACCATGTAGTTAGCAACTATTATGATAGTGTGAAACCATTTTCTATTTATTTATATCACGATTTTATAGAAATACGTTTTCAGATTCTTCATACGAGCGGTCAGATAGAAATTTTGTGTGATACATTAAGAAATATCTCTCCCAAAATGAACAATCAACAACTAACTTTCTGTATGAAGGAAGCGATTGGCAAGCATCAAAAGATTATTACTTTTTCAGATAAAATTGATAAAATCTTCTCTTATATAGCGCTAATTCAATTCATGTCGAGCACACTGCTAACGTGCTGCATAGGATTCACGGTCATAACAGTAAGTAATTCTTTGCTAAAAATAAAGAGTATAAAGAAACGATGTTCATTTTGCAACGATAAGGGTTTATATCGTGATTTGATGTTGCAGTCCATTAACACGCAAGATTCGGATACGGTCGATGGCACGGCACTAATGAAAGCTGTAGTGTTTTACATGGCTGCTGCCGTGGAAGCATTTACTTTCTGCTTTTGCGGAGAATACCTCACTGCCAAGGTCGGAACAACCGAGATCTTTCCGCTTAATTCTCTTTATAGAGGAGTCAATTTATGCGATTCGGCTATACATCGTGCGATTATTTTAAATAATTACGTCTTTTTTATGGAGGATATACAAATATTTAAAGAAGAAGTTAAACCTTCTTTTTTCTTTTCTTTTTAATGCGAAAAAAAATCGATAGATATTTTCTTTTCAAAATAAATATATTGCAATGAACTCATAATAATTATATGAATTTGTATAATATATATTGTGTCATGTGCAAGTTTAAACAAACATCTTGCTTTTACGTATTAATTAATTATTATTTAAACAATTATTATTACTTATATTAGAAATGATAATTATTTAAATTAATGTCAATGATACAATAATTTGCCTCAATTATCTATTTAGCAAGAATACATTTTTATGGTAATTGAAGTATATGATGATTTTTTTATCAAACTATATCAGAATTGTTATTTCTTTTATAGTAAAAAAAGCCTTTATGTTAATTTATGTTATTTATTTCACTGACAACACAACCTTTTTGCAACATTGTTCTTTAGAGCAAAATGATCGGCGATGCAGCGTACAAATCAGTTTGGTACGACTTTGCACCCAAGGAGAGTAAGCTCGTCTTGCTTATAATATTGAGGTCACAAAGAAGACTTACCATTACGGCTGGAAATATGATGGATTTGTCACTAGAGGGATTCACGAGTGTAAGATTCCAACACTGAATTTTTTGTTAATAAAGTCCTCATCTTGATGAATCAATTGATAGCTGATGTCATTCCGAACAATTACGATGTATTTTAATTATTAAGCGATTTTATAATACAATTTTTTAACTGATTGTAAAATATGTCTTTTTTAATAGAAATATTTGACTCACATTTAAATAATTTGTTTATTTATAAATTTATTTATTGACTTTTTGTTGTATTATTATATATTATTATTGTTATATTATTATTGTTACATTGTATTATTATGTTATTTGATATAATTTTTCTAGATTTTAAAGGCCTCTGTTTCGTATGTATCAGTATTGCACGCGATGTATTGAAGTTCAAAGGCAAGCCATCTAGTATCTAGATGGCCATTACATGTTGTTAAAGATATTAGGAGTTTTTCTTAACGGTTTTTTCTTGACAGTTTTTCTGTGATGCATGTGAAATTGCATGATAATAATTATGTAAATTAAATGTAGCACAATGTATCAATTTACACAGTTTGTAATAAAATATTTTAGATTTCCATGGTCACTACTCGCATTACTAGCACATATATTCAAACCTCTATATTTTCTTTCAATTTATATATTTTAATATAAAAATAATTGAGCGTTTTGTGCATTAACGTAAATTCTTTTTGTTATATATATTTTTAAAAATAAAAGTAATTTTTTTATCTGGTGAAAATCGTTTATATGATCATCCAACTTATTTTTCATATTCTTGCTTATCTTTACTTTGTTGTTCGTTTTACGTCTCAGTATACTGAATTTTTTCTCAGCGTGCGCTGATCAATTTTCAGTAAGCTTCATATATTTTTAAAATAAGTGACTCAGTAAGTTAATGACTCTATTGTCGGAAAACTCAATGTTTTTAAACTGAACAGAAAAAAATTCGAGATAGATCGCTTTTTCTACACGTCACATTTTCCTTTCAAGTCTATAATCTAATAAATTGGCGAGCATTTACTTTCGATTTAATTCCATTTCTGTGAAGTATGGGTAATTACGATTGATCGACGGTAATGATGGAGTTTATTATCATGTTTTATCTCTCTCTTTCCATTGTTTTTACTTTTTGCTATATCCGATGTTATTATGTCTAAGAGATTTACACGGCTTGAAAGTAGTCTTTCTCAGAAGAAACATGTTGGAGTTACGCAAAGATACGATAGGACGCGCAAGCACCATCAGTGAGTCGGTCGAAGTGGGTTTACGTTTTATTGGAATGTGGCCACATTGTGCATACGCGAATATCAACTGGTGGACTTATATCGTGTCAGTGGCAATAATGCAATATTTTCAGTATGCGTTTATTTTCACACACTTCGACCTCAGCGATCTCTCGGTTTTTGTAGATGGTCTAAGCATCGCATTCGGCTACAGTTTGTCGTTCCTTAAACTGATCAATCTGTGGTTCAATCGTCGGTAAGATTAACGCTTAACGGTCTCTGCAGACAAGGCGAGTGATCGACCATGCTTCATGCCTTCATTTCGTTTTAATTCCATTTCTATTTTTCGCGAATGATATGGAATGTAAAAAATGTTCCGTAGAAAGTTTTTCGCCATTCTGGATACAATGGATAAAGATTGGAGCGATGCAATTCATTCGGACGTGTCCACAATGATCAGATACGCCAACTGGTCGCGTCAATGTTCCAACTTAATGATCACCACGAATGCATTAGCTGTATTCTTTTATGTAATCGGAGGTTTAATATTCCGGTCAATGATTCAAAAGAACGATGGTTCAACTCGCGAGTTGCCCATCAAAATGGAATTTCCTTTTAAGGTTGATAATTTCCCGATTTTTGAGCTAATATTGATACTTCAATTCTTTCATGATTTATCTGTAGCTTGTATCATCGCTATGCTGAACGCTTTGCTCGTTACGCTGGTAAGATTTTATTGTATTTCATGATTTAATTGGTTCGAAAGTTATCAAAATTTTGTTAAATTTATAAAAGACATAAGTAATTACTTTTATATTACATTTTGCATTTAATTATAAATAAAAAAACACACACACACACACACACACACACACACATATATGTGTGTATATACATACAAGCTTTTTCTCTTTGTGCTAATTCTTTATTTGAAAACTCAATTAGAATTGGAAATTAATTGTACTAGTTTCTGCGATATTTGTGAGAGACTATTATTATTATATATTCCATAATTTTTTATACTAGATTATTATTTTTTTGTCCTTTTAGTGGCATTGGAATCTTATGTTTCAACAAATACTATAATTTTTTTATTTTTAAATACAATTTTGTGTGTATAATATTTTTCAGATTTTTTGCGGAGATATACTCATACTGCTGTAAAGTATCTATAAAACTGAAGATGTTTTTTAGGTACTACACGTAAGTGGCCAAATTGATATTATGCTGCAAGGATTCATGGAAATTTCCTCTAAGCATACATCAAGATCTTCTCTAGCTGCTATTAAAGATTTAGTTAATAGACATCAGAGAATCATCGATTTGTCAGACGACATTGAAGATCTTTTCTCAAACATCGCACTGTTACAATTTATCTGGAATACTTTGGTCATCTGTTGCATAGGCTTTGTGATTGTAATAGTAAGTTATAATTTTATATATTTTTTGTGTTATAATTGTTTTCATCTCATTTTCTCTCTCTCTCTCTCTCTCTCTCTCTGCCTTTGTTTTTTCACATATATTTATGACGAATTACTCTTAAATTAAAAATATTATTTTTAATCCTGATAAAAATTTGTTCCAATTTTTCATATAATTTTTCAGAATTTTTATATAAAAATTTTGGAATTTAAAAAATTTTATGAATAAAATTTTAGAACATTTTAGAAAAATTTTCAGATTTTGTTAGAAAAATTGAAAGAATTTTTCAGAAATGTCAAGAAAATCTACATCTTTTCTAAAATTTTTCATATATGTGAATTCTGTAATATTCGAAGATTTCTAAGATTTTTCATCCTATAATTTTTGATGAAAAATGATTTTGATGAATCATTTATAAAATTTGAAAAGTTTGCGAGATTTTTTCAGAAATTATAGGATGTCAATTCTTAAAAGCTTTGAAATATTTCGAAAATTATATATATGGAAAATTCTAAGAGAAGATGTAGATTTTCTCAGTATTTTTGAAGAATATTTAAATTTGTATATAAATTCTAAAAAAAATTTTTTCTAATAATTTTGATGAATCTTTTATAAAATTTGAAAAGTTTGAGAGATTTATTCAGAAATTATAGGATGTCAATTCTTAAAAGCTTTGAAATATTTCGAAAATTATGTATATGGAAAATTCTAAGAGAAGATGTAGATTTTTTCAGTATTTTTGAAAAATATTTAAATTTGTACAAAAATTCTAAAAAAAATTTTTTCTAAGAAAGATGCAAAATGCTTGGATATTTATAAATTATCTTATACATAAGTATTATACACATATTGCAGTCTATCGGTACAGAAGAAGGTGCTACGACGATAACGAAATCCCTTATCTTTTACGTTGCGATAACTCTCGAGGCATTTGTTTTTTGCTATGCTGGAGAATATCTCAGTGCTAAGGTCAGCTAAGGAAGCGTAATGATAGCGTCGTAGAAACTTCGCGTTAACTTCTGAAAGAAATTTATTATTAGATGATTAATTGTGGAAGTTTGTTTATTATTGCAGAGTAAATCCATTAGTGATGCTGCGTACGAGTGCCTGTGGTACGATCTAACCCCCAACGAGTGTCGAATCTTGATGTTCCTTATGTTGAGATCACAGAAACGGTTAACCATCACTGCAGGCAAGATAACTGATCTGTCCTTGGAAGGTTTCACAACCGTGAGTTTATTTGAACTATGCGGAAACTTTCGTTCGAACTGAAACAAAAATTGTAATGTCCTTAATTGCCAGATTATGAAATCCTCTGCGTCGTATATATCCGTATTGAGTGCACTATATTAAAAAAGAATGAAGAATTGCATTTGGACACTGGTGAGTCTTTTAGTATCATAGAATATTAAATTAAATTTATCTCAATGGCAACAACACATAACAAATTGACATTTCCTGAAGGAAAGGACGTCATATGATTTCTATGCAATGCGACAGGGATAGTTTTAGCCAAACGTTCAATTCTCCGTTGAGCGGAGTGTTCGTATATATTATATACATATATATTAGTACAAAGAAATTTCGCAAAAAGTATTTTGTATTTAACCATATACTCTGCAGAGGTCTAATTTTTGAATAATATGATATGATAATATTTATTTACATGTGAGAAAGAGAAGTGATGCTACCACTCACTTGCAAAATGCTACTATGCTATTACAAAATCGAGAACAATCTAGTTTTCATGCGCATATTCAATATCAAATTCTTCACTTTCCTTTTCCATATTATCTTTATTTTCTGCCTGTAGATATTAACGTTTTTTTTTGTAATAGCGTACTTTTTGTCGGATGTAGAGACGCTAATTGTAGAAATGATTATATCTTCGCATTTAAAAGGTTTTATCTCTTCGGCAATTATCAAGGAATATTACATGAGCTATTTTAGCGAGAAAAGCGTTTTGTTTTTTCATTCGGTATACTTATAAGCTTTCAAGAAATAATGGATTTGAATAGTCAGCGTACAATTACGATTGATCGAGGGAGGACCTGCGCTTTATCGTCTTTCTCCATGATTATTCGGAGAGCGACGTTTCATTGCGCATTTTACTGGCCTAAGTTTATATTCGTTATTCGGTGCATTGACATCTCGATAGTTATCAGTTCGTAACGTACAGTGATTGTTGCGGAACGATGAAGCGCACAAGTACCATCAGTCGCCCAGTCGAAATTGGCCTCCGTTTCATTGGTATGTGGCCGGATTCGGCCTATGCGACTCTTTATTGGTTATTTTATATGGCGACGATGGTGGTAGTGCAATATTATCAATATACATATGTTTTTACTCATTTTGATCTGAGTGATATTTCGCTCCTCATGGACTGTCTTGGTCTTACTCTGGCATATACTCTCGCCTTTCTTAAACTTTTTGTCTTATGGTGGAATCGCCGGTAAGACGTATTTTATTGTAGATGTAACTAAAAACAAATAATAACGATTTCGACAATAGGCTACATCTCCATTATTAATGAATAATTTCGACTAAATGAAAATCAAATTTATCATTACCACTACTGGTATTTATAGTCAGTTATTTATAGTCGTAAATTTAAGATTGTCTTAAGATGTTATAAACTAATTATTGGTCGGTATTCATAGTCGGATCTTGTATTTAAAATCCGTACGTAATCTTAAGATGTCATGAACCAATCAGAGAGCCATATTTGCATTTTAAGACATTACTTAAGACAGTCTTAAAATGAGAACGACTATGAATACAAAGCAATATCAACGTCTTAAAACATTATACTTAGGATAGCTTTGTAATAAGGATGGAATATAAACTGATTCATGTCTAAATAAAATTAAATGTATTTAAATATTCCTTTTGTCACTTTCTTTGAAGAAATTTAACATGTACAATACTCGATATATAAGCTGCTTCCTGCAGGACATTTTATTATATTGTAAAGGCGATGAAAAAAGATTGTA